TTGGAGCCATCGTTAATAATTTTATTTGATTCAAGTCAAATTTAAAAGTTAATTTCCATGAAGTCCCCTTACAGTGGATGTAGGAAAATGTATTTTAAAAAAAAATAATTGCAAGCAAAATATTGCAAAACACATAAAGAGCTGAACTAATAATAAAATGTTAGAAAATGAGTTCCAACGTACCTGTGAACAGCTAGATGTCTGACCTGACTTTGTTTCAATGCTTTCTTGTATTTCATCGATTTACACATTTTATTTATTCAGCAGGTGCTTTTAAAAAGCTTTTCACCGCTCAGAAAGGAGGGTAGCCAATCTCTGGGGCATGCATGAGGGTCCAACGGTGACATCACTCTGCAGACCCAGGGATCTGAACCAGTGACCTTCCGATCAAAGGTACAGCATCCTAAGCCACTGAGCCACACACGGCCCCCAGTGTTTTATGATTAAAAAAAGCTTATTTTTGGATGCAATACATCCATTACGCTCCTAACATAAGATAGCAATTCCAATACTAATTCCAATTTAAGTAAGAAACAATTTTTTTGGTTCCCTTTATATTCCTGTTATATTGATTCTATTTGAAATTTCAGACTTTCAAAACACAAAGAAAACTGAGAATCACTTGGGAACAAACATATCTCCGGAATTTACCATCAAGCTAGTCTAAGAGAACCTAAAGATGATTCAGACCATTTCTCTTAAAGGTTACTGGTTGGCTTAGATTACTAAGTATCACTAAGTATCAGTAACTTTATTCGGACCATAAATAGGATGGTTTACAAGATGGAGACAAACTAAATATGATCCTCCCGGCATGAAATTATGACATGCAGAGCAGCACATAAAGGCGATGAAGAACTTTCTTCAAACAGAGAATTTTGGTTTTCAAAGATACCAGCTGGTCAGAAAAAGGGGGGCTTCTGTCAGCTGCTATGGCAACAGACTGATTATACCCAGAAGGACAGTTGCTACCACAAACACAAAGCGTCCAAATCAGCAGTGTCCAATTGATTTAAACAGATCATTTTTAGTCCATAAATACCTGCCCTGACAGACGACACTGTGTCGACCACCAAGAGGACAGAACCGCCTAAACAGAGGCTGAAAAATGGAGGGAAAATGTCAAAATTTATACAGGATTTAAATTCTGAGCAACTAGTAGTGGAGAAAATGGGAATGAATTTTTTTCCTTTGGTCAAATGTCTAGTACAAGCCAATGTGTAAACTCTGAGGACCAGATGGCTGTCTTCTATGTTTAATATAACAGTATATGGGCTGTTTTTCTGTCGAACGAATGTCTGCAAGCAGCCATCTGCTTTTCTGTGCCGGGGAGAGGGAGAGGAGAGAGTGATTCAGCGCTAGGAACGCTAGAGAAAACGAACAACCCGCCTGCTGATTAATATCGAACCCCCTGGAGGCTTCGCCATATTTGCCTGATTCGAGAAGCTTTTTGTAACATTAAACTGGCTGAAAATGCTCTTCTTTCACTGGAAAGACTAGAGCGAATCATTTTAAATTTACAAGGAGAATAGCACATTTATGCCATTTTTTATTTTAAAAGTGTTGAGGTAAATCACAAAATTCTTTTAAAAATAAAACTTGCAACTAAATGCGAGATGGACACTGATTCAGCTACGTCTTTGCCTGTCACGTCAAAAAAAAAAAAAGCTGGAAAATCAAGGTATAGTAAGAGACGTGAGTTAGGTACAGTAGCTTCTGCTAGATGGAAAGTTAAATTATCACAGGATTGCCACAATTGAGGATTGTGTCAATGCAGGCATATATTTCCATAAAAAAACACAGCGGTCTGTCAAAAGTACCCCATTTCGCTCCTTATTATTCCATTCAAAGTGCTGGAAATTTCCTTTGGGTGTCTCATGTTGAGATAAATCCCACGGCAGGGCCGCTGAGTTTCTGACCGCCGTGAACAGTGGAAAAGGCCCTGGAATTTCCTGCCATGCACAAGGCTTGTGCTCCACTTGCGATGTGGAAACAATGTCAACTGCAACATGATTTAAAAACCTGACCCCCCCACACACACATACACAAAAAAATGATTTTTTTTTCTGTTGTATGACTGGCAGCCATACAACACAGGGGGGGTACAAGGTGAAATGTGTTGAATGTTTAATGGAAAAAATGACTACAAAGCATATTAAAAAAAGGTCTCATTGATGCGTGAGAGACTCATTAAACGGGGACTCGGTGTACATCTTACAGAGTCCTTATGAAGGTCATCACTGAAAGATGGAAAAAGAATAACTTGCATTACTGGATGGAGTTATTTTAACCCAGGGTGAGGCCTTGCAGACCCCCCGGAGAACAGGTTCGACTTTTGCTTTACAGGACAGGCTGGGGTGTCCTGTCTGAGACGAAGGACGAAATGATCCACGGGAGCCCGGGTCCTGAATCCTCCTGCTGAGGCTGCCCCTCCATCTGCCTGCAGGATAAGTGTCATGCAGCACGATTTGTGGACATCCTGGGTCCTCGTTCCCAACGTGCCGGCACCCGCCTCACAATCATGAAAGTGGAGATGGTGGTGTTATCGCTACGGATAAGGCATGAGTGCAATTAAACCTGCTTCCCCATGCCAGTCTAAGGCAGCAGTGTGTGGCTCAGTGGTATAGGCCTCTGCACCATGATCGGAAAGTTGGTGGTTCGAGCCCTGGCCTTGGTAGAATTAGTTACATGGTCATTGGGTCCTTGAGCAAGGCCTTTAGCCCCTCCCAAAATGCAGGATAAATAGCAGGCTCTGCTCTCAGATTCCAAGCTTTGCTCTCAACCGTGTGTGAATATGTGTGTCAAAGGACAGTGAGATGGGGTGAAAAAACAAGTACCTCCTACAACTGGCAAATAAAGCATCATTTCATTAAAAAAAATCTGAATAAAAATGCTAATAATGCTCTTTTCTACCATATAAAATGAAGGTGATGCCATATGGTTGTCTCACATATGTTCACATATTCTGCCGAACGGCTTCTTTCCTCATCTCTGGTCTGCGGGAGAATCAGGGTCAAAATGAAGGATGTGGAGATTCCAGCACAGACACGCCGTAAATCATTCCTCCCCCAAAATGAAAAGGAACCGAATCTCCATGACAATAAGTCAGGCTCTAATCTCGGCCCCCCCTTTCATACACGAAGATATGGAATAAAGGAGCCGCTGAGGTCACACCCAGAGCCCCGAGGTGAATCGCTTGGCTGGTCAGGTGACGGAAGTAATGTGTCCTTGTCATATCATCCTGGAAGGTTGGGGGGTGCTGGTGTTCGAATGGCACCCATTTCAGATGCTAATTTCTGGGGAGAATTTTTTTTTAAAAAAATGTATAAATATATATACACACATGTACACACAGGACAGTCGTTTTGTTTTTCTTGGGGAGGGTGATGAAAGTTTTAAGCAAGCTCAGGACTTTCTGCACAAGCTGACAGCTGGATAAGACTCTGGTATCCATGGAAACGGTTGCCAAGTTGTACCCGTTGAGTAACTCCTTAGTACGAGGAGAGGTTATCGGTGGCGGAGTACAGCCAGTACAGCCAGGCCAGACTCACATGGATTTACTACAGCGGATGGTTAATAATAATCAGTCCTAAGTGTGCACCAAGTGGACGGTTTTATAACGCTTTTATAAATGATGCGCACCCAACCTCATTACTCTATCCTTTACCCCCATTACGTCACTGTGCCAAGTTACAGAAATTTTTCCCAGGGCGAGACGTGCATCATTAATAACAGAACACGTGCAGCTGCCTTGAAATCAAAATGGCAGACGTCCAGGGTTTGTCAGCTTAAAGAGATGCACTCCACTTTCGCTGTGCTCCCTTAAAGCTGGGGTCGGCTTTCACAATGGGCGAACCTCACAATACGTTCATGGCAAGACAAGGCAGGGCACTCAGTCAGTCTCGAAACAAGCGACTGTTGTTTGAGGTCGTGTCTCCCGCTTAATTCTGCAAAGGTTTCACAACAAACAACCCCAAACAAATCAATCACTTAGTTAAAGGAGGGAAAAATGACAAGTTGTCAGGCTGCCGGTTTCCTCCATATGTTCTGGGATTTAATTATTCGGTGATGAGCCAGAGCGAACGACGCCGTCAGCCGAGCTGAAAACGAGGAAACCAAGACGGTCGTGACACTCAAACGGCGCAAAAATGTGTACTTTTTCAGCAAAAGCTGTTTGCTAGTGATGAAGTGATACTTCAGTGTCACTCGTTCCAGCAGCCGCGCCGAGCGGTTTTGGCCGACTGGGAGCTGTGTTCTGCCAGGTGTCTGAAGGTTACACTGGACCCGACCAGAGGGTCTCATGTGCCATTAATGAGGAAATTGAGGAGCCAATAATGCAAAGAAAATACATCACCGGAATTTTAGATACTACTGTTTAACACTCAATTACTCGATGCATCACAGAGGAGTCTCAGTATGTAAAGTTTCTAATTATTATGGTAATAGTGCATAATTAATTATACATGTATAGAACTGGCATCCCACTGCCAGGACGTCCCCTGCCTTATGCCCCCTGCTCTTTGAGAGAGACTCCAGTCTCACGGTGACCCCATACTGAATAAGCAGTAGGAAAGACGGATGAATGGAATAAGGAAAGCAGTACAGCATTTATTAGTGTAGCTTCACTTTTGCAAACACAGGATTCTAGAATCAAAAACTGGCAATTACTGGAGATTCCATCCTCCTTATCATCATTAGAACATTGATTTCCAATTTAAATCTACACGTTGTTCATTTCACTGTAGGTAGGCCTCAAAACACATACTGACATATCTCGGGAAGTTATCTGAATTCTCACGCTACCAAAAACCAATTTGGGGCAATCTCAGGAGCCAGTAATCCATCAATAGACAATGATCGTGACGGCAAAGGAGGGCCGCCTCAACAACTCTGGGGAAAAAGAAAGTTCTGGAAAGTTCATGCAGACCGCATTCGCTTCCATCTGCGAGATGCTGCAATGGCAAATACGAGGAAGGGAAAAGTTGTTGAGTATGAAATACCTTTGAATACGGCGTGCAAGTCAATCTCCTCTTCCTCCTCCTCTTCCTCTTTGATTTTGAGATATCTTGTTGACGGTGCAAGCCTAGGCAAAGAAGGGGGGGGAGGGCGCAAAATGATCATCCTGTGACATGGGACTAAAGCCCAGTACAGTGCACTCAAGGCTAGGGCAGCCAATCATCACGCAGGGCGTGGGATACAGGCGGAAACAGGCAGCCAATCATCACGCAGTGCGTGGGATACAGGCGGGAACAGGCAGCCTATCATCACGCAGGGCGTGGGATACAGGCGGAAACAGGCAGCCTATCATCACGCAGGGCGTTGGATACAGGCAGCCTTCCTACGCCTCAGCCTTCAACATGCAGCACCCACAGCTGGGGTCTTACTGGCCTACACATACCTTCCCAGTAATGATGTTCCCACCCTGGTACTGGACCCTGCCACCCACCACTGCGCGTTTGGGCAATGTGTGGCTCAGTGGGCTAAGCCTGTGTGACTGTAATCAGAAGGTCACTGGTTCAAACCCAGCCTCTGCATGTCTGTGGGTCCTTGAGAAAAGCCCTTAACCCCCAGCTCCCTGGGTGCCGCTACGGGTGGCTCCCCTTCGCAGACAGCTTACTCTGCAAAGAGCAAGCTGAGGGAGGCGTAAAAAACAATTTCCCCACGGAGACAATAAAGTATCAATTATTATTATTTACCAAAACCTCACATGGAGACGTCGTGCCACCTGATCCCCTGCCATGGGTTTGCAGAATATGAATGGACATCACACATGAAAACTCTAACCCCCCACCAGGTAACTGCTACTGGTAACTCTATCAACATCCCAGAAAACTCTTCCATATGCTGTGGTTCTTTGAGATGTCTTGTTAAGGTATCGTGATGGGGTTCTGTGTTGGGGTGTCTTGTTGGGGTCAGCTCTTGGGATATCAGGTTGGGGAGACCTGTTGGCATCTCTTGTTGGGTTGACAACCCCCCTTCTGCCAGAGACAACTGTGCTCCCATCAAACCATGACTCTAATTCCTGGTCCTCCCTGTAGAACCGGAGTAAGTGTCAATTCCGACACAGATACTGCTGAGCTGATGATGGGGTTCAAATCTGGCAATCAGGTCATAAATCGAATGTTATAAAGTACTGAAGTACAAACATCCCAGCACCAGAGCCTCAGTGTTTCTCTTGCTTGCCATTTAGCGCTTTTCCCAAAGGCATAGATCTCAACATTGGTAGGCAACAAATCAGCTCTTAACTCCCTGCCTCCCGAACACACGGTACTCCCACAATACTGCTAGGGACATGTCCCTACATACCAAAATCTCGGTCCTTGGGCTTTCCTCTCCTTGCCCTGCAAATCCATGCATACACCTCTTCTTCAGACAGTGGAGGGGTTTTTGGGCCCAATGAGCCAGAACGTCGTTGGAAGGCCTCCAATTCTGCTTCCTGATCTTTTGCAGATGGAGTCAGTCAAACTTCAAATGACACCTCAACTGTCACTAGAACCCACCCAACTGGGCAGTGGTAGACAGTTCATAGGACTCACAGGAGACACTGAACTTCAGGTCACCAACTGCTACCAGTTAGTAGGGTGAAGTGAATATTTTTGCCCAGGAGAGAAGGTCTAATAGGAGTGTTACACAGAGCCAGTGAGTAGAACTAGCACACAGCTCAGCGCAGTGCTGTCAAAAGTAAAATTTGGCAGCACATTTTAAATCTGTACCTGTCCTGCCACAGTATGGCAAGGCTTACTGTGCCAATAGACAATAGGGGGCGCCGTTGCAAATGACAACTGCATCAGCAACTTTCACAAAAAAAACAATAACGTTACAAACTTGCTTAATACTAATTTGGACTTAATTAATCCTTTGCAGTTTATACATTCATTAGCAATTAAAAACAAAGGACAGGCAGAGTGAGTTTTAATTGCGCTGTAAATGGCAGATGATTAATTTTCACTATTAGCGGGTGAGTTTTAGGGCTGAATGGGTCGTAGCTGCTCTTATCGGCAGCGTTAAGTGCCCGGAGTTCCTGACCACCTTTCTTGCATAATCATTACCGCGCAAACTGCAGGCTTTCACAAAGCGCCATGAAGTGCGTAAGGCTTCAATCCTCCACTGTGAAAGCTTTTCGCCTATTTTAGCCAAGTGGGGGTGGGGGTAACTATTTAAATAGGGGGAAAAGGAAGTGACGAGCTGTGAAATATCTCCTGAAGTGAAAAGCTAGCCAGCTAGCTAGCTACAATGCTGAAGCACCATGTTCTGCTAACCAGCTAGCAAGCTACAATCTTCTGACTATATCTGCTAGCTATTTTAGAGTTGGGCCCCAGAAACCAAAAAACCTGCCACTGGATCTTCTCTTGTACCTTGTACGCCACAAAGGTGCCCTTTAGGTCCAGGGGAGAAATGACACAAAGGAGGCAAATCTCTGTGGGGGTGTAAGAAAGATGGAGCATCTGCCCGCGCCCTCCCCTCTGCAGGCGACTATCCAATATAAGTCATCAGCCGGCTGAGAGCTAATGATCGTAACGACCAGGTCAACCTCTCTCCAGATAAGGATTTAACACTGTACGCAAAATTACACAAAAAAGGTAAATGGGGGTTCAGGGCTTTGCTCAAGGGCCCAACACCGAAATCACCCTGTCACTGCTGGGACCTGAACCGATGACCTTTTGATTACAAGCATAGTGTCCTATCCTGCCAAGTCACACACGCCTCCTTCTTGGCAACCTGCACGGACCAGTATTCGAACCCGAGATTAACCTGCCACATTGGTCTGGCCACATCGCCACCTGTGGTCCTGTTTGCCACGCGTTTGAGTTCTCGCCTTCCAGCTGAACTTGTGCTGCTGGCACCGCCTTTCTCCTCTAGGATTGGCTAATGAGGATGACGTGGCATATTGCTATTGGAGGATCTGACCAATGATCAAGTAAATAAGAAGTTTTTTTCTAATTAAAAAACAAAATATAGAAAACGGCCAACATGCTGAGCCAACATGGTGCAAACTCATAAGTACTAACTACGGCTTCTCCTTGCTGCCTTCATCTCAGGGCATGGATTTGGGTTTCAGATTTTTATTTGTCTGTCAGGAGAATGTCAGACATGATCGGCTGTCCGCCGCATGTCCCTCTGTCACACAGCACTATAAAACACGACCTTTTCACTACATCTGCCAAAAAAGCAACGGGCTGCTTTTTTTTAAATTCACATCACATGCCTGCGGGAGGTTAAAGGGGCTATTTACATGAAAAGTGATGTGTTAAAATAAAAATGTCACTTTTTTTTACACTCAGCCTTGAGGTTTTGAAAGGTGATGGTCATGATAAACTGAGGAGGCACGGCAGGACCTTGACACATGATCACACTGTAATTACATCAAGCCAGATCACATTAACGCTGTCGACAGGTTGGATTGTGAAATTGCCACAGGATCTTTCCCTGGGAATGAGGGTCTCGAAAAAAATACCTTTGGCGCTCAAGGACTCAAATCTGAGTTTCTGGGGCTCAGTTGTATTTCTCCATTCTGAACCCCACTCTACCCCTATCCATCTGAATAATTCATCGCCGGTCTGTTAGTGGAGCAGAAAAACCTGGAATTTGATCTTACTGGTTTTCATTCCTGACCGGCCAACCCGCTGCGTGATTGCAGGGAATCGTGGCTGTGTAACCTGCACACGCCTCCGAGTTTGATCCAGTCCATTTTTCGCAGAGAATGAAAAATGCACAACATGATCCCTCTTCATCTCTGTGGCGACATTACCGCGGTAACGCCACCTGGTGGCACTCAGCGTGCAGCCAGACTCGTGCCTCTCGATCCCCCCTGGCTGGCGCACCATGGATTTGATCAGTTTCTGAATGGAGCGGCGTCTTAATTGGCTCGCCTCGTTAAGAGCGCGGGGGATAGTAACCCCCACCCCCATCTGTAGAGGCAGGGGCCCCATCAGGCGGGGTATCAAACGAAAACAAACAAACAAATAAATAAACAATGTAAATAAGGTGTATTTAATTGGCGGCAGGGCCCAGAAAGGGGCAGGATGGGGCCCGGTAAGAGTACAGGCAGATCCAGGGAAGAGGAAGGATCAGGGGTCTCCAACTCCGGTCCTGGAGAGCTACTCTCCAGTAGGTTTTCTATCCTACTTGGCTTCTGATGAGCCACAGCTGCTCCTGGTATTTACCTGAGAACAGGTGTGGCTCAACAGAAGTCGGGTATGATAGAAAACCTACTGGACGGTAGCTCTCCAGGACTGGAGTTGGAGACCCCTGCTCTAGAGTCTCAGCAGTATGGAGATCCCAAGTAGGACACAAACACAAACCCAGCTGGCTCCCCAGTATCACACCCTTTCCACGATCTTTCCCAGTAACGTACTCCAAGTGACCCCCCCCCCTCACCTGCTCTCCACTTGGCCGCCGTCGGCCTCCTCGTCCTGGTTTTCCTCGCTGGGGTCGAGCCTCTTGGTCTTCTGCACAAAGCGGACGGGAACGAAGGTGATCTGCTTCTCCCCGCCAAGGCGATCCGGTAAGATCACGTCCTTCTTCATGTTGATGTCTGAGTATGGACAGCCGAAGGCACTGGGGGACGAGGCAGGAGCCACGAGATACAAGAAGATGGTCAGGACCTGATCACTTAATGCAGGTCACTGTATTACCCTAGTCTTAAAAAGCTGACCACACTAAGCGAAGCCTGACAATGACATCAAGTCTAAAACAAATGACATTATTATTATTATTATCATCTGTAAATATTTCTGTAATGCTACAATATTTCGTTTTTAGGATATTTGTGTACTGTGCACTTTTTATTTGCACCACTTCCATTTGTCTGCAGAATGTGTACCACCTTTGCACTATAGTGTTTTGCACTATACTGGTATGTCTATTCATCTGTGCATTAGCATACATATGTTCTCATTAAACAGTGATACAACACACTCAGAAAGGTTCAGCGTGCGGCAGAAAAGGCTCACTTCAATGCAGAGCCAATACGGCAAACGCAGTTGTCTTTCAATAGTATAAGACTTAGTCATCATATCTTAATTTATACTAGTGAAAATAAAATTCTAACTAGTAAGAATTCAGTTTTTACTAGTAAGAATATGAATTATAGATATCAATAACTCAATTTTTATTAGTAGAAACTTACACTGAATTTTTGCCTCTCATACCCAAAATTCCATTTTTACTACTAAGAAGTTATATTGCAGATATCTATAATTCACTTGATATCTGCAGTTACATTTTAGAGACTGGAAATAACACATACCTTGAATGTCAATTTCTACAAGTAACAATAGTAATAACAACTGAGTTATGTCATATCTACCATATGACTTCTTACTAGTAAACATTAAATTCTGGATATGAAGCAAAAATTCAATGGAAGTCAGGGGAAATACATTACTAGTAAAAACTGAGTTATAGTTATCTATAATATGGTTTTTTACTAGTACCAATGCAGTTCTTATTAGTAAAAATGATCATTTGTACTAATCAAAATTAATTTATAGATGTCCTGAATTTGTATTCTTTCTATATAGAATTTTTACTATTAAGACTTATCATTTTTACTTATCCTATTAAAAGACAACCTGGCTGGCCATGGAGTCGCCGAGGCACAGGCCACATTAACAGCACTGCAGAAAGGATGGCCCCTTTTAAGAAGGTGAAATTGGAAGTTTAATAGCATCATGTTAAAGGCTTATGAAGAGACACTGCTGGATAAACAGGAGTTTAGGTGTGAACTATGGATGCTGGGAACTGCGCTGCAGTGGCTGCAGTGTACAGAGAGAAAAGTGCTTTTTATTTGACAGTTTTGCATCATAAACCATTCTTAGGACCTGAATTCCTGAAGTTAAGCCGAAGCAGAGGCCAGGGTACGATATTCAACCTGCAGAACGGATCTGAGGTCTTTATTACGGCAAGGGCTTGTTTTGTTCAGTGAGAGAGGAGCTGAGTCACATCAATTCACTCATACATGAAAGATATCAGAGCCTCCCGAGCTTCACCCACAGATGAAGACAAAGGATCTGATTTGTGAACAGATCCTTCACCTTGATGCTGCCCTGCAAGGACTTTTTTCCGTTTCTGTGGTCTTCCGGCGCTGCAGAATGCGAGACGGCATGGGATGCTCCGTTCCCGAGCATGAGCTGAGAGGTCGCCTTGGCAACATCCGTTTCTTTTTCAGAGATCATTGTGATTTGATCATCGGGCGGGGCAGAGTGTGGTTCTGCGGGTGAGGATTCTGTGCCTGTGTTCAGAAGTTCACTGGATGTCATTGTCACGCCCTTGAATGAGGCCCTTAATGCCCACTTTCTCTAGGGACTGTCTGGCGCGACATCCTCAACTGTACACCCCTTTCGGTCAAAGCCTGTGCTAAAGAAACAAGTTGATTAAAGTTATGGGATTAGTGCTGTGCTTCAGCCCAGGAGACCATCTCAGGTGACATGTGACCGATGATGAACTGTGGGTCTCCTTCCCAGCCTATTTTGGGGAGAAACCGGATGGTGACCCCCCACCTCCCCAGATGACAGACAGCCATCCATTTAGCAAATTCACTCAATCGCAGCCGACAGACCATATGGTCTCCATGTCTCTCTTCTGGAAGGACATCCTACCTTCACCCCTTTAATTGCACAGCTCACTCAGTCAAAGTGAACATATGCTACTCAAAGAAATGGCTGTTACTTTTCAACGGGGGACTGCAGTTTAAGAATGAGAAAGATGTTCACTGAGAGGTAACATACTGGGGGTGGGGGGGCACTCCGTGCAGTGTATGGTTCCTTGTGCCTACTGTGATCGGGAATCTGCACAGAGAACTGATTTTAGAAGCTGTACAGTGTAAAAGCTTCCATATGAAAAAAGAAGCATCTTGATTCCAGAGACTGAAACATCTCAGAACATTCTGATTGGCATGACAAGCTTTGGAACTTTAGAAGACCATCTAACAAAGAATGAAATTAATTTGTCTTTTTTGGACAGAATGACCTCTTCGGTCAACTGATGAATGTCTTGAGATCATTACTGACCAGCATGAAAAGCAGCAAGCAGGCATGCCGTTAGGGTCCTACTGAATTTTGCATAGCCATGCTTTTTAAACCCCGACTTCAACCCCAGCAGCTCCAAAACGATTCCACAGAGTCTGCGTTACGTGTTCATTAAACCATAATCACCCTCAGTGTTTTTTTTTTTTTGTTCACTTCAATGCTTAAAAGGCCAAGCGTAGAGATTGTATTAAAAGTTAATGTTTGAGCGGAAGAATCAGAATTTTAATATGGTTTCTCGTCCAGACAGGTACACTTTGTCATATATATAGCGCAACCCCATGTATTGAGGTTAGTGTCTCTCATGCTCCGCCCCCACTGCAACACGATTGGCTGGCCAAACACTGAGTCTGTGTCGGAAATGGTAACCCGACACCCGCAGTCATCCCAGCTTGGTTGGGATTCTGTGGGCATAAAAAGCCTCTTGTGCAATGATGGACGGACCAGGGGGGAGATGATAGAGGCCACACGCCAGGGGGCAAGGCTGGAACCAAAGCCACATCCTTGCTGGTTGCACATTAATGAAAAAAACATAGATAAATCTAGATTAATTACCACCTCGTCCTCTTACAGAAAGCCAGTGCTCGCCTTTTTCCGAGACACAGAGTGGATCTGACTACTCAAGGGAACGGCGATCAATGCCTCACTCCTTCTGGGGTTTTAAAATGAAAATCATCCACCCGCAGGGTGAAATTATGCGAGTTTTAAGAAACGGCCCCATTTTTGAGTCCACCGGCGAATATAATGGCTCACTGTCGTGTGTGATCTGCCTTGCGGGAAGATGCCGTTTCAGAGTTAACACGGATGAACCCTTTGAATTTCCAGAATTACATAAGACTCCAGTGTAGGCATTAAATACAATCTGACGGCCTCCTTATACTGAGGTAGGCAGGCAGATACTGCAGTTATTTATGAGAGTCTGTACCCAGGGCAAACATTACATGGCAAAAAAATTGTTAGCACAAGAGAGTCAAGGGTGCTCTACTATTTAAAGATCCCCAGATGAACTTTGCTAAATATTCATGGCTCACAAACTGGTTTGGCAAACAAAATTACAGGATGCCATTTGAGAGGATGAAACAAGTCAGGGTCTTTGTTCAAAAGGACATTTTCGGCTCAACCTGCGGAATCATCCACGAAGAACACGTCACAGATCGATCATGCTAGCGATTAGCGAGCCGCGATTCTTAAAATGCTTACTCAGTGTTTCCTGTGCAGCAGGCTGGCCCACTCCGCTCTTATTTAAGTTACATAATCAATAATGAATACTTGGTCCCAGGGCCAAATGTCAGTCGAAGCATAACCAAACTCCATCCGGCTGGAAATCTGCTTCACATCCGCTGGCTTTCACGCTTGATGTTAGCTACACACGAAGCGACGCACTTTTGGCATGTCGTTGCGGTAAATAAAAACCCGATTTTACGGCTGGCAGCAGCGAAATACATTCATAAGTTCAAAGATAGCTATGCGATCGACATGCTGTAGCGTTAATTAACTATGCGCGAAAGGAGATCACAGATCATCTGCCAGCGTCTGGTGTCACTGGTGGCCCAAAAGTCACCTAGGAAAATGTTTGCCACCCGCAGAGGCTCATCTCAACTGAAATAAACAATAAAGATTTTCTACAAGTTAACGTTCTTCATTGTGGTTTTCGGTGATGTGGTGGCTTGTAAATAGAAATCGAACTGAAACAGACCTCCATGATTGCCAGTTATACCTTCCACGCAATCTGCAGCGTGCATTGCAGGAAAAAACAGACTTGTGGTACTTTTGAACAAACACAACGGTTTGAACAAAAATAATTGCCACAAGACAAAAGCAAATTGACGCACAAGTCAGCCTTGCTTGTTAATCTGTAATTATGTGTAAAAATAATGTACAGTAATATAATTGTGAAGTAACTGTAGTGATAAAGGCTACTCAGTGGAGCCCCCAGTGGTAGGTTGTTCCCCAGAACAGCACCGTTAAGGGAATATTTTAGATGGGAAATTTATGTGGAAAGCACCTGCAACAGTATTGGAAAATCATTTGTAGCCTGAAATTTGAGTTAATAATCGTGTGATCCTGAGGCCGTTAGAGATGGAAAAAAGGGGGTGGCGTTAATTTTCCTTTATCGGTATAGTTAACATCCTTTTCTGTTGTAACTTTAAGGTGAGGGGGCTGCTCAGCTCGAGAGAACCCAAAGCCACGGTGTGACGGGCCTGAATAAACATTCATTAGGACAACATATTAGACTCCGGGAACCAGAGCCAATCATAAGCCATTAATATGATAATATCTGCTACAATAAGAAGCGTAAAGCAAATCTTACTTAATAGACAAGAGCTACGAAAGCACCCAAATATGCAAAGGCATAAGGATGGCCCACCATTAGCTGGATATTTCTACAGAGAGTCTCGCCAATGGAGAGCCGCACCCATACACAGTCAGGCCTGCGGATAGCCATGCCCGTCTCTGTCACGGTGCAGTGGGCACAGGGGCAGTCAATCGGGACAGAATGCAGAAAGATGAAGGGATCTCAGCCATGTTAGGGCGGGCTCTCCGACCCAAATGAGCTGGAACCCCAAGGGGGGCACGTGGGTCGATTGGGCTGCGCATGCGGGCTCCATGCCATGGGTTCCTCCTCCCCACTGGAGGTGGAGAGCTCATAGATACGCCACAGCTGACCGGCCGGTCATCGGGAGATTAAGGGCTTACAGAAAGCTGTCGGGAATCTCTCCACTGTTGGCCGGAAGCGTTTATGCTGGGAGCTGATGGAGGGAGACTATAAAACTCATAAAAAACATACACACACATGAAGGTCAGGCCACAGACTCTGGAAATGTGGCGTTTAATGTGGATGAAGGCCATGGCGCTCTGCCTTCTCTGATCCATCCATCCATCCATCCATCACCACTTATCTAATACAGGGTCATGCCAAACATGGAGCCTATTACAGGGAGCAGTCATGCAGGGACGCCAGTCGATCACAAGACACACACACACACACACACACACACACATTTAGATTAATATCTTTGTAGGGACCATCCATTCATTTCTATGGGGAAAGCCCTAATCACAATGACAACCTTAACCCCTTGCCAGCCCTAACCTTAACCATCCATCTATCCACTGTAACTGCTCATCCTATTCGGGGTCGCAGGGGTCCAGAACCTAAACTGGAGGCTACGGGTGCAAGGCAGGGAACAACCCGGGTTGGGGGCCCAACCCATCGCAGGGCACACCTTAACTATAAGTAACTAAACAAAATACAAAACTTTTGTCATTTAGTTTTTTTATTGCAGTCACAGATTTTTATAAAACTGAGTTTCCCCTTGTGGGGACAGAAAAAAATGGTCATTAAAATAACAGGTTTTTATCACATTGTGAGAACATTTGGTCCCCACACTAATATATTTATGGCCCACACACACAAACTATGGGTAGTTTAAATACTAAATGACAAAATGGGATGCAAAGCAGTAGTTAGAATGGAGCTTAAATTAAAAATGGGGAGTGGAACCGTAGGAAAGTGTGTTAATCTTTCAGCAGGCCTGGCTGTAAACACATTACATCATGTTCAGTTTTGTCCTTGTTGGAGGCGGGTATGTGGTTCAGTATTTGGTTATTATTCTTAATGCACTCAATGTAAGACAGAGTTCATCCTTCATGCAAAAAATGAGGAGTGCTGTGCTTTGCAAATGTAACTGGTTACTTAACAGACCTTTACTTTCATATCGATGCTGTTTTACAGACATTTGGATTTAACAGAAACCCATTAATTAGTCAGTTAAATTAAAGATACTTTTACCCAAAGTAACAGACAACTAGGAAGCCTGGGTTGAACAATCCTCACAGCAATGGGGGTTAAATCACTTAACAGTTAAATCACTCTGTTGACCTTGGGATTTAAACTAACAACCTCCCGGTGATGGCTACCACGTCCTAATCTGCTGAGCCACACACAGCACCCCGATACAAATCCATAAAATCAGCTACAGTTTCAGATTTCATCCTAAGTCTGCAGAACATACGCTTCAAAAACAAACACGTCTGCCTTATTAAAAGTTCAGACTCTGGGTTTCGACTCTGAATGCTGAGAGCCAGGCAGTGCAAACAAAGGTGAAAAATTCAAATCAGGGCAAGTGACGGGGGAGCTGGCTGCTATCACCACTGTGGATGCGGCATGGCAATTATGCCCCGAGCTCAAGCGACGGCTCTTACAAAGAGAGGGCACACAGCACATAACAAGTACTACTAAGGATGTTTTCTGAAATGTCAATCAAGCCATAGTCTCCGGATCAGAGAGATAACATTGAAATGCAACGTATAAACAGAGGCAGACTGAGGAATGCTTTGAGAATCTGGAAGGTAAAGCAAGGTAGATGAGAAAAATGCAGTTCTGTCATGCATGAGACACGCCGCGAATGCACTTTCATTTAAAGTGCTGGCGATGGTGACCAATTAATTCGGTTCCACATGAGTGTGCTCGTTAACTGAAACGGTGGAATCTGGGACGGATGGCAGGCTTTGCATTCTTCAGATAGAGGCTTAAAAATTCTTGCTGAACCAAACAACCTTTTCCATCATCATCAAAAAAATTTGCCGCACCAAATACATAACCAAAAATGTTCTGAGCACAGAAGGAAAGATACTTGGTACAGAGAGATAACCAATCAAGCAACTAGAGGAGGCAGGACCAAGATAACTCATTGGTTGGTCCCACCTCCAAAAAAAAAAACATTTCTGTGTAAGTAAAATTCCCATGAGCTATTTGTGGGACCCCATGCAAAAAGTAACTTTGGGGCCACAAGCCCCCTCTAGGATGGCCCCCAAACTTCGGGGATGGGGGCATGGACATGTGTATTCTGAGTGGTGCTAACCAATGCCGCTGACCACGGGAACAGTGATTGGCTTGCTGTTTAGGAAGCTCTGTGGAAAAGCTGCTGTACTTGAGAGAAAGATACACCACAAGGACAGAAGTACTGGGACACCCTTTTTACTCAGGTGTTTCATTCAGACCCATTGCCACAGGTGTATAAAATCAAGCACCGAGCCATGCAGTCAGGTTTACAAGCATTTTATGAAAGAATGGGTCATTCTGAAGAGCTTAGTGATTTCAGGCATGGTTCTGTCATGGGATGCCACCTTTGCAATAAGTCAGTTTATAAAATTTCTTCCCTGTTAGAAATTCCATGGTCAACTGAAAGTGGTATTACTGCAAAGTGAAAGTGTTTAGGAACAACAGAAGCACAGTCACAAAGCGGCAAACCATGTAAAGCAACAGAACGGGGTCGCAGAGTGCTGAGGGGCATAGTGTGTAAAAGTCACCAGTGTTCTGTTGACTCAATGACAGCAGAGTTCCAAACTTCCTCTGGCATTAACCCCAACACAAAAACTGTGCACTGAGAGCTTCATGGAATGGGCTTCCATGGCCGAGCAGCTGCATGAAGGCTCACATCACCAAGCACAATGCCAAGTGTCGGATGCAGTGATGTAAAGCACACTGCCACTGGACTCTGGAGGAAATGTGTTTTTGAAGTGTGACAAATCACGCATCTGATGGATGAGTCTGGATTTGGCAAATGCCATAACATTACCGGCCTAACTGCATTGGGCCAACTGTTAAGTTTTTTGGAGGAGGGATACTGGTATGGGGTTTTTCAGGGGTTGGGCTAGACCTCTTAGTTCCAGTGAAGGGAACTCTTAATGCTTCAGCATACCAAGGCGTTTTGGACAATTCTATGCTTTTAACTTTGTGGGAACAGTTTGGGGAAGGACCTTTTCTGTTCCAGCATGGTTGTGCCCCAGTGTACAAAGCAAGGTCCATAAAGACATTGTTGGGTGAGTATGGTGTGGAGGAACTTGACTGGTCTGCACAGAGCCCTGACCTGAACTTCCCTGAACACCTTTGGGATGAACTAGCCCAGAGATTGCAAGCCAGACCTTCATATCCAACATCAGTGCCTGACCTCACAAATGCTATTCTGGATAAATGGGCAAAACCTCCCACAGACACACTCCATAAACTTGTGGAAAGTCTTCCCAGTAGATTGGCAGCTGTTATAGCTGCAAAGGGGGGCCCAACTCCATATTGATGCCTATGGATTTAGAATGGGTGTCATAAAAGTTCCTGTAGGTGTAATGCTCCGGTGTCCCAATACTTTTGCATGTAGCCAGAAATACCGGATATAGAAATTAGTAACATGCCTGCATGGTTCTGGTTCTCTGATGTGACATCGATACCCCATAAAATGGGGAAGCATGTGTGCCTGTAATCAGAAGGTTGCCGGTTCAAACCCAGCCTCAGCACGTCTGCGGGTCCTTGACCCTTAACCCCCAGCTCCCTGGGCGCTGCTACGGGTAGCTGCCCTTCACGCACAACTTACTCCACAAAGAGCAAGTTGAGGGAGGTGTAAAAAAAACTATTTCCACATGGGGATTAATAAAGTGATGATTATTATTATTATTATTATTAAAATACCAGTACTTCTTAAAACAAGTGCTTTTTTTCATAAAAGGAGGCCCAATGCCCTTTTTGGTCCTTCTGATATGCCGTCCGTCGGCCACTCACCTGTGGTGTCCTGTGTATCGTGCCCCCTTGATGTGGCCCACCCCCTTGCACCCTGGGGTTGGACACACTCCCTGGGTGGTTGAAGTCTTGAGGTCTGAAGGCCCTGGAAGCACAAATAAACATTATTGGTCGATATGCCCAAAACCTGGTCTTCCTGCTCTGCAACCCCGCCCCCAAGTGCCTTCAGCCAATCGTGCTGCGGTAGACTCAGCCTTCTCAGTTTATTGGTTCATTAAACAAAATTTTATTTCACCATGTCTGCTTTAAACTGAAGATTATAAAGTTATTATAGAGCTAGTTAGTAAGTCAATACCAATTTTTGTTTAACAATCGTATGACAAGTAACAGCAAATCCTTGTTTTAAATCATCCTTATGTTTTATCACATTGTTTATTTTTATTATACATTACCTAGATAATATAGACAAATAAATCACATAAATCATCACGTCTGCAGTTTATGCCAATATTTTGTTAAACTGCAGCTTAAAAATTCTCTGGAATCGATGCAGTTTAATTGATATTGTCATATTCAGCGAGATTCCTTACAGTCTGCATATTTACGTGATATCATTTAAACCAGTTTAAAAACTGCTGAAAGTGAAAAATAACCAAGTCCGCTCACGGCTGAAATCCGGCCACAGTTCGGCAAATGATCCTGTAATATCAGGATGATGATATCTTTTACAATCCACAACCTATAATTACTACGGAGTTAAAAAAACACTTTCGGGGTTCTAAATCACTGACGTTTTTTCATTCCCTCTCTAAAAATCGTTACAGAATTTTTTTTTAAACAAATTCTGAACATTTGCACAGTATCAATGCAATAACAATATCACTATCAATAAATTAAAATAAGAATGGAATTAAATTAAGAATCAATAATTCTTAAACATTTACTGAGTAACAACACAAACCCTTAAAATTAAGATAGCACCATCCATCCATCCATAGAACTTCTGTAACCGCTTATCCTATTCAGGCTCGTGGGTAAGACAGCACCAATACGATAAATAACAGCATAAACAAGTTAAAGTAAACTAAGACTTTAATTAAAATTAGTAGCAATAAATCCTAAACATTTACAAGGTTTCAGCACAAATTGCCGCCGCAAAAGAAAAGGACAAGGCTTGTCGGTCCGAGTGACTCCGGAAAGATCCGTGCTGCTTGACAGATGGATTACGCCTTTACCCCACCCGGAGCGTGGCATTCCTGAGTGCCGCCGCTACCCTGTAATTACTCCCATCCATCAGCGTCACCCGGCCTCCCTTTAACGGCAGACGTGTGTTCTCACTGCCGATTATTCACTTTCCATCTCGGGCTCTGCATGCAGGTGACCCAGGTCTCCGCACCGTAAGTATTTTATGATTCCACCCCCCAGAGCCGGACTAACTCATGAGACCACCTTCCAAATCCATCCCTGTCACGTCAAACAAAGAGCCGAGGTGTCCGTTCTCCTAAATGGGGGGACCACCGTCAACAGCCGGGGGTGTTTAAATGCATCGTCGAAGATTAAACACTGGAGCTGACTGAAAATGCAGCACCATCGCTTTCCATCGCAAACTTCTACGATTTAACTTATTATTATTATTATTCTTTCTCTGTTTATTCAATCAACCATATTAATTCCACCCCATTATGATGCAGCTGCCTTACTAATTTTTAGCATACGCTTTGCACTATGTATATAAATTTGTGTCCAGTTCCTCCGCTTTGCACTGTCCTGCGGTTTGCCCTTTCTGTACTGTGAAAACCCTCCCCCAGTTACCTGTTGTCTGTTTGTTGCACATGTAAAATATGTATTTTCACAGGTGTTGGTATGGCACTGCACCTTCAGATTTGGAGGTTCGATTTCCGCCCGAAAGGTGGATTGGTGTGGGTTCTGCGTGTTCTGCAATGGTTTCTTCTGGGTGCACTGATTTCCTCTCACAGTCCAAAGACATGCAGTTAGGTGAATCTGTGACTCTACATCCCACCCAGGGTGTCCCCTGCCTCGTGTCCCGTGACGGACTGGCATCCCACCCAGGGTGTCCCCTGCCTCGTGTCCCGTGACGGACTGGCATCCCACCCAGGGTGGCCCCTGCCTCGTGCCCCGTGACGGACTGGCATCCCACCCAGGGTGTCCCCTGCCTCGTGCCCCGTGACGGACTGGCATCCCACCCAGGGTGTCCCCTGCCTCGTGTCCCGTGATGGACTGGTATCCCACCCAGGGTGTCCCCTGCCTCGTGTCCCGTGACGGACCGGCATCCCACCCAGGGTGTCCCCTGCCTTGTACGCTGTGCTGCCAGGGATGCCAGCATATTCACTGCATATTCACACCCTGTGTGTGATGCCAGTCATGAGACTCCATGAAAAATGACAGGAGAGCCAGACGCGTTCCGATTCAGCATCAATGCGCTTGTATCGTATGTCACGGCCGTCCTGCGATCGGGATGGAAACTCACGGAATGGGGGCTCCAGGGGGTGGCCCGTCCTGGCACACCAGCCGGCGGGGTGCAGGTCTGGCAGGTCGGAGTCCACCCAGAAGTCAAACTTTTCATGCCAGCTGTCAAAGTGGACCTGTTTTCAGGACACAGGTGCATCATTTAGCGTTTCAGCTCACACTTTTCCTACTGTCACATACAAACCATTATTACTGCATGTGTTAGGCACTGCATTATTACTGCATGTTAGGCACTGCATTATTACCGTATGTGTTACTGCCACTTCATTGCCATCCATCTGCTTATTCCAGTTATAGGAAAGTCCCAAATAACCACATAACACAAATGACTGGGGTGTTGTGCACCTCAGTAGATTAGGACACTGCATCTCTGATTGCATGGTCAAATTCCAGGGTCAGCAGAGTAATTTCACCATTTTGACCCTGAGCACGACTCTTAAACCTCAGTTGCTCATCAAAAAAGTGCCTGCTATATAAATAAAATGTGTAAAAAATGGAAATCCATAATATTTACTTGAATGATGGAAACAAAAGAGGTACCTTCAGGATGCCACTAATACAATTCAAACGTCTATCTGCCATAAATCAGAGCACTTTACTTAAAGTCAGCCACAAAGCATGTTAATACTCTGAAGTACTCTTGACACTCACGACACATGCATTTAATATTTCTGCACCCATTAAAGCATCTTCATATGGTCAGATCAGATGTAATTTGTCAAATGGCGTGTTTGAGCTCGTTTGGTGAGTCTCTCTGTTGAATGGATGGTTAAAAACCTTACAAGTGTATTATAATGAACTTCATAAATCAGAATCTGCCTTTATGGTATTCAAGGGTCGCAATATGGTGCTAGAAATAATCCCGGAGGTTAGGGACACCTGAACAACCTTCAGGAGAAGACAAAGACGGCAGAGAGAAAAACATCACGCGGGCGTTAGACAACCCGCATACTGGACAATCCACGGCTGATAAAGCACATCCGGCCCACACAGGGCTGACAGTGTAGCTCATACAGGAAAGAGCGGGAAACTACTTCATTAGCAGTGCTGACAGCCGGGTCAGTAGGCCAAGCAGAACCTACGACTACCGAGGATCTGCCAACACTGATATCCGTATAGAAGAAATTAAAAATCGGACCAAAAATACGAAGAATGGGAAATCTATAATCTGTGTGTAACTCTGAAGACAAAAATGCAGTTGTCCCAAAAATAGACTGAATGCTAATGTCATGCTGGACCCAGCAAAACAGAGTTCTTGCAGTTCTGCGCATAGATATTGTATTGTGCAGAAATGACAAGTCAATAAATCCAGAACTCTATCTATCTATCTATCTATCTATCTATCTATCTATCTATGCGATATACCTTTGGATGCATGCATGTACGTTACATTTCAAACTCATTCCTGCTGTCCTATAAATTGGGTCCCGCCACCACCCAAGCCTAAAAATGCATGTATAACTATATATAAAAAAATGTCAATCCTATGGCTCTCCTCGGCATGCCCCCTGAAAGCCATCCCCAAGCCAGTAGCCGGAAGTGAATCATGCCAACAGACAGCTGGAGGCTATACAGACAGCTCCTCCTCCTCCTCCTCCTCCTCCTCCTGCTCCCTGGACAATGACGTGCATCAGCGGGCAGGACGAGCAAATTGCAGTTACCGCTAAAAGCGATGAGGAAATAGTCGATGCGTTACTCAATAAAACTGCAGGCTCACCGGAGAACAGGAGGAGAACAGGAGGAACACAGGGAACAGGAGGGAACACTTATATATATTGTAAATAAAAATAAAAAGTAAAACCTAAGCAGCCCAGTCTTTACTTCATAAAGAATTAAAAATAAACCAATAAAATCCAAGTAAACAATCCTGATATAGGTTGCTCGGGGGGTAGAGTTGTTGTCAGCGTCCAAATTATTTGAATCGTTATAGATTCCCCGGCCAACATATCAGATGAAGACAGTCCAGCAGGAGATCAAGCCGGACCCCCCTAGACACGTGGGGTCGCAAGATGTTGGGGGACAGACTGCACACTGAACCTGCACAGAGGTGTATTTTTATTTACCAAGTCACCTGTTCAGCAGATAAACAATTTCCAGAAGGTTCTCAAAGAAATACATTGTAGTGGAATCCCCTTCCTCACCTTCACTCTGTAGTCTTCGGCGTCCACAATGGTAGCCACCCTGATCAGCCTGGGGTTCCGCCGGTCCACCGTCTCCAGCTTCATGTTCATCTGGAACCGATGAGGTGCCCTCTGAAGTCAAAGGTCAGAGGTCACAGGTCAGTTCTATGGCTGCTTATCATGAGCATTACGTTGAAACATTGCACCAGCCAATAGAGGATACCAGCATTTTGGAGTGAAAATAAAAATAACTGCATACAAAAGACTGGAAGGACTTACCAAACAAAAAACCTCACTTGGAACAGCTGAGGAACGTGTGTCTGCTAAGTACTCCTCCCATACAAAATTTTCCGGATTTGGATGTCCTGGAACACAACCCAAATCAGGCCAATCGTTACTGATCTCATTATAAGACAATGAAAGGAGAAGACAAGCAGAAATATCTACCCAAGGTCTTTATTTCACATCCAGTAGCCCATGAACCTTTTCTTCTAAACATTGATAGTACACGGACTGAAACTACCAGGTCTGGTTACCATGCACACCGCTCCACCCAGGGCGAGAAGAAGGGTTATCGTCTCTGATCTTCAGAACACAGCAACACCACCTGCTACTCTAACCAAACAGGAAGCCAGGAGCTCTTAACAGATCTATTGTATGAGGCACGTAAGCGTCATGCAGATGGAGATGGAACGTCGGTATCATAAACGGAACGGTGAGCAAGAAGAAAAAAAACAGTTTGTTAATTATGTTCTTTTTTGTTGCAGATGGGAGATGTGTGTTTGCTTTTCTGCTAGGTCAGGATCACACATGTGGGTACACAAAGTGGATTAATTCCACTGCCTGGCTTTTCCGCTTGTGATCACCCAGCTTTTGAGGTGCCATTTACTGGCGTTTTGAACGTCCAGCGGACTGGTAACTCGAGAAGAAAATCCGCATCAAATTGGCCACTCCAAAGTGAGGAGGTTTACCTTTGACCTTTATTCCATTTTGAACAATGTCACGGTTTTCCACTCCAATAAAGATCCCACATACCAATGTCTGAGCCACTTTTGGTCAGGTAATGGATTTCCTACCAGTCCGATACTCTTCACACGCAATTTACACCCATAAACCGTGTTTATAACATTTAGCATTTTCACCGGCTCATTAAACTAGACAGATGCGGCAAGATCATTTTCTATTGAAGTGGTGGAAGGATCCAGAATGGTAATTCAAGACAAGTCACCATAAACATTGCCATTTAGTTTAAGGAAAAAACAATAAGTGTAATTTCTGAAGAATTGAGATGCATGAAAGTGTACGAAGGGGTCGTTTTATTGGTTGGTCTTCATTTCTGCCACGGTTCTGACTCTATATTACATTTTATTTATTTAGCAGGTACTGTTATCCAAAGTGACGTACAAAGGAGAAGCAAGGTCTACCAGACCCTGATGCAACTCTGGGCTAAGGGCCTTGCTCAAGGGCCCAGTGATGAAACCATTCTGCAAATTGTAGGATTTGAACCAGTGATTTTCCAATCACAAGCATGGCGTCCTAAGCCAGTGAACCACACACCACCCATCACCTAGCAGGGCACAGATCCATCTGCTACACCGTGGGTTTGTAACCCCAGCTGCATCAACCTCTATCTGCATTATTGCCCAGGATCGATTACGCACTTCGTACAAGGCGTAACATTATTCCAAATGAACAGCTCGTATAACAGAACACAAAAGTGTTTCTTTTTTTATGCCTTGCAGCAAATTATCTGGCACATAATGACTCCGCTACAATATTCATTTTAGTCTGCAAACTGATGACAAAGGCACTTTCGCAGAAATCTCCCGCAGAGAGAGAGGACGCACAGTCTGCCTGAGGAGGAGGAGGGGAAGATCTGCACCCATCAGAGTGCCGCCCTGAAGTTTGATGAGTGAGGCAATTAGAGAAATGCCTAATGGATACATTCCAGCTCATTGTTATTCTCTAAATAATATATCTGTGAGAGGCTTGTGTGGAGAAATGTGCAGGACAAGACAGCTGCAGCTGAAGGCAACATGTAAAGCTGGGTTTGGACCACAAATTTGAGGATGGCTGAAGCTTAATTCTATATGTAAAGGTGGGTTTGGAGCATAAGTTTGAGGATGGATGAAGCTGAATTCTACAAGTAAAGGTGGGTTTGGAGCATAAGTTTGAGGATGGCTGAAGCTGAGTTCTACATGTAAAGGTTGGTTTGGAGCACAAGTTTGAGGATGGCTGAAGCTGAATTCTACATGTAAAGGTGGGATTGGAGTACAAATTTGACGATGGATGAAGCTTAATTATACATGTAAAGGTCGGTTTGGAGCACAAGTTTGACGATGGTTGAAGTTGAAGGCTACATGTAATGGTGGGTTTAGAGCACAGGTGTGAGGAGGGCTGAAGCTGAAGGCTACATGTAAGAGTCGATTTTCGAACACGTGTAAAGATGGCTGAAACTAAGTGACACGTAACGGTGGGTTTAGAGCACGAGTGTGAGGATGGCTGAAGCTGAAGGCTACATGTAAAGGTGGGTTTACAGCATAGGTTTGAAGATGGTTGAAGATGAAGGCTACATGTAGAAGTGGGTTTGGAGCACATGTGTGAAGATGGCTGAAGCTGATTTGGAGCATTTGTAAGCAAGATAATAAATAAATAGAGCAAAACAGAACTAAAGCTGATGTTGTTTAATTGATTAGCTCAAGACTGTCTTCAATGGCTATCTGTTATTATACAGGAACATTTCCCACAATAAAAATTAGACCATTCCACTGCTATTCTGATGATTTATGATCTAATAACTTGCTTTTTGGGGGGGGGGGGGGAGACAGCAGTCTTAATTTTCATTTTCTTTGTTTAAGTTCCTTCAGTGGATCGCCGTTATAGGTGTAATACTGTAAAAGGCCAGCTCCGAAGCCCTCCTCTATATAACATAAACTGTTCAAGTAATTAATATGGTTTCAGATTAAATTTTTTTCATAAATGCAGGGTAAAGTACAAAGTCCATAATTCTTGGCTTTTACTGTCATATGATGCTGAGACGAGGATCATAAATAAAACAGCAAGCTGTAAACTAAAAGAAAAGAAGCACAAGATTATGATTACAGTACCAGTTCCTACCAATGTCTCTGTATAGGTCATACAAATAAAAATAGAGGTACCACACTGAATATCTGCAGCATCATGTAATTGGCCAACTTGTAGAAATTTCTTGCTGATATCTGCCCAATAGGAGCACAGAGAGGGCAGGGCTAACTAGAGGGTAGCATAGCGGTTGTGTCTGAAACGCAAGTGATGTATCTGATAGCCGGTGGACCAAACCCAAAAGACAGGGGCCATGTGCCATTGGTTGGCTGACAAACAGCTACACGTGTGCACGCATGATTGGCTGGCACTCACCCTGAGGGGCCGTGAGAGGTCGCCCGTGCTCCTGGCACCACCCCACAGGGTGGATGTATGGGCTGCTGGCATCACACCTGCAACAGGAAGCACAGCAGAAAGGTTCAGGACAACCGCAGCAAATCCAGGACGAGGGAAACTCCCAAAACAGAAGTGGAAACATACTGATAATACTGATTTTAACCTAACACAATAAAGGCAAAACTGGACATAGACACATAAAACATTTACGAAAGAATAATTGTAGTAACTATACAAACAGAGGACATAATTCCCATAATTCCCTGCCAGGAATGCTGCCTGTCTGTAATCCACCAGTGCATCCCGTAAGGATCAATAACGTTCTACATATGTTACAAAGGTAACACTCTGCAAACGAAAGGGAGGAACAGACAGAACATCATGCGAAAGTCACTAAGGTCACATCTCCTGCTTTCCAAAATCAGTTATTTGATACTGCCTGGCTGTACACATCATGCAGCTCCTGTCTATCAGCATGTTTGGTTGGTTTGTTAATATTGTTCACAGTTTTTATTTGACAAGAAGAGGAAGTTGGCAAGGTCACACCCCCACAGGTGTGATATCATCTTAAAGCCCTAACTGTCCTCTTTAAGGAACAATAGGACTGAATAGAATAGCGTACAGAATGAGAGAAAACATAAATGTCCTCTACACAGGAGAAAATGAAATAGTGGATCTCAGGAGGTTACTGAAAGTCTCTGTGTGAGAGCCATCAAAGTCTGATCAGGCCCAAACATAGCAAACCTGATTTTTCAACCTCCCAGGTTGCATGCTGAGAAATGCAGATGGAACATAAAATAGCATTACAAAAAAAGATTAGTGCTCCCTGCATGATTTAACATTCTTGTAGAAGTATTTAGACAGTCTGAGAGGGCAGAACATGACACTAAAATCTTTCGTCTGTTAGGTGTGCAAGGCAATCAACTTTCTTCAATGTGAAAAAGTAACTGCTCTCCCTATTAAAAGCAAATAATGAAATAATTGAAACTTTGGTAAACAGTAACATCTGATCTGGGCCACTTATTTCTAAGGCTTTGTGACTTTGCAGCTCCGACGGACCACCATCAGTGTTTGGGACGGTAGCAGATCTTCCCAGGACTGACCACCTCACCAAACTCTCCATGAGTAACTGGTAGAACATTCCAGAAAGAACTCTACCAGGACCAACCCAGGATCTGCAGACCATTCTCACTCCCTCGCAAAGCTCAGGGATCACATCTCTCCTGTCACAAGGATGCATGGTACGATAAGGATGTATGTCAGTGTTGAAAGCCCCACTCAGTAAGGGCCTACAGGCTTAAGGTATTTCCTCTAAGACTTCTTGTATCATCTCCAAGAGTCCCAAAAATGTACCACAGAGTGGAGGTGACAGTGGAAAGATCTGGTTACTGTGGGTCCGCTTCTGAAACCCTCTTTTCGATACACACTCATTTCCGAACGTGGGCTTGCTGTTTATCTGATACAGACTGAAGCAGCTAGAACTTCCCATTCTGACCTCTACTGCGTCAGCATTGCCCAGAGATTTGGAAACATAAACCAAATATAAACCAATGTAAGATTTTATATGCCTGCAGACAAAGGCCACTGTTCAATACAATCTGCCCCTAGATATCTACCTGGCCAGCTGGGTAACGTAGTTGGGCATTATTGTCATAATATCAATCGTCCCAAATTTCCCACGGAATCACCCAAATGTACGATAAGAAAAGAAAACTCTCTTCCAAACTTCAAAATCTGTCATGATTCACGGTGATCCATTTCGAAAAGTCCCAAATGACCCAAATGCATCAGTACAAAAACAACAGTCAGCAAGGGGCAGATTGACTCCGACCAAAAGTAAACATGGGGAAACAATTACTTTTAAGAAAAGCACAGAGAGCCGGTGATGGCACACTTCCTGTCAGAGCACAGAGAGCGTGGTAATTCTACAGCATTCTGGAACCTTGGGAGCTTTGTTTCGACTTTCAGGGTGAGCCCAGACTCACTCGGTTTCATTCGATAGGAAGCGGTGCCCTGGGGACACATTAAGCACCGGAACTTTGCGACTCACTGGAGAAAAAAATAATAATCACTAAAGAAAGAAAGAAAGAAAAAAAAAAAAAACACTAAATGCGGCAAGCTTTGGATTAGACCCCGTGAAGGTTGTGACAAAAAAGCCAGTGCTAATGTATTCAAGCTAATTACTCATCAAGCCGGGACGAAACGTGTCGGCTGTACAGCCTGACGCCAGGGCATTAGACACAAAGCGTGAGCGCACAGCTAATTCTCTGCCCTACCTCTGATGATAATGGTGCTGTTCTGTTTTGAGCCTCCTTCTTTTGTGTTTTGTAGGGCTGTAAACTGGGCTGTAAATGCTGGTGGTTTGTAGCACTCCTTAATAAGAAAAGTACGGGATCTATACAGAACATAGCAATTAATTCATGAATCACGGTTAATTCCAAATTGTGGGCCGTGATTAACGTAGCCCAGAGAAAAGCGAGGACTCCAAGCAGCTGAAATAAAAAGTGTGCTGATTAATTCTGTTATGATCACGGTTACTATCACTTCCGTGCTGGATAAGCAGTATGGGCGATGGAAGGATGATAGCTTTACTACGTCTTTCTATATTTCAATCATGCTTAAATGGTTAATGACAGAGTAGGGGGGTCATGATTGGAGGGGTTTGAGAAACGTGGAATAGGGGAATTGCATAACTGGAATTCTAAAGGTTCTATTATTACACATTCATTAAAACAGCCATGAGTGTGCATGCAGTATGGGGTCGCGGTGTGCTTGGAGTCTATCCCAGAATGCACAGGGCACCTGGCAGGGGTCAGTGAAGTGCTTATTGTTTTGAGTTTATTGTCTATATTTATTCGGCACTTTGTTAATCAGGAAGTGAGGCTAGTACACATTCCATCAAACTATGTACACATGGCGATGAAGTGGCTCGAACTTCGGACGCATGAAAAAGATTAAACAGCTTTTCACGGAAATGTGGAACGTGTTGATTAAGGTGTCTTTGCCGTGAGTTTGGGCTTCCTGTCAGGTCCGACCACGCCCACAGCCTTCCCGGCGGACGGGGGCTGATAACCAACATCTCGCAACCTTGCTGGATGAAAAAGATGATTAAAAAACTCACTGCGACCCCCGTCCCGCGTAAGTGTTTATGGAAGACGGATGGGGGGAGGGGGGGGTGGAATTGATAAACTGGCATTTGTCCAGCTGTTATTCCACCCATTATCCAGTAGGGGGTCGACTCAAGCCAGAAGCCCAGAACATTCCGGATGGTCCCCACAGACATAGACAATGGGCAGCTCAGGGACACTGAGTCACATAACTGTACATTTTAGGAACAGGGGAGAGAAAACCAGAGGAAACGGAGGAAAGCCCAGCGGTACAGAGCGAACATGCAAATGCAAGACACACACACACACACACACACACACACACACACACACACACACACACACACACGGATGCAAAGCTCAGCTGCTAATAACACAGAACAGGAAAAGGGAGCAAGCGCAGCGCAGGATAAAAGTCCAGCTGCTCAGAAATTCCTCTCTCCACTCTTTCATTTTCCAGGTTGCTGTCCAGCCAAAAGCGAAACAGTTGAATCGGCGACAGCAGTGGAGAAGTCAGAAGGTGAAGGCGATGGACGCCCACTGCGTGTCCTCCTAGCGCCCAGCTTAACAATCACTGCTGCACCGGTCATTCTCCTCAGGGCGGGAGGTTAAATATGGGACCTAATGCTAGCCGGCCAATTATACTTGGTCTGAGGCCCGTGCCTTTAAGCGATGAGAAATGTCAGAAGCCAAACAAACAAGAGAAAACAAAACAAACCGCTCCTCCGCCGCTAATTAGAGGATCATCACCCCGACCGAAGACACCAGCTGAACAAACGGGGAAAAGACTAAAAACGAATGGGTTCTAATAGGGTCGTCTCTGTTAAAGAGACATTACCAAATAAGACAGGCTGCAATAAAATGAGGAACCCGAGGGCCTTTCACACCGACACCAAAACGGTCGCATATGTGGCTGTTTATTGATAGTGTACGAGTTAAAATTTCATGTGGTCGTATATGTGCAAGTGTATGATAATCATCAGGTGTTTCGCTCTGGCATGGGTACTGCATAACAAAATGTGATTGAAAGATTATTTTTCCTTCTTCCCTGGTTCAGTGTGTCTTTTTCTTTTTGCTAAGTTAGTGTCTCCTTACCTGCATGCGGGAGTATATATATATGTATACACCAATCTGATGATAGGACGTGCAAAACAATCCCTTTATCTGTGATGTTAATATGTTCCAAAAATAAAGCAGTCTATATTTGATTATTTTAAAAAGCAAAATGAGAGGAACGAGGAGGAGACTGGTGGAGAGGGAGAGCCAAGGAGAAACCCCAAGACAGACATAAGTGAAGGTGAGAGTGAAGTTATTCAAGTTAATGTTCAGATTATAATATTCTGCAAATACAGTAAACCCTTCACATTCCTGCATTACATATTCGCGGTTTCGGTCATTCGCAAGTTGGCCAACAATTAAACAGGAAGCTTGACAAAAGATTGCAGAAACTCACAGACAAACAAAACAAACTGCCGACAAAAACAATACTGGAAATGATTTGGATCACATAAAACCATGTAATATATAAATATTAGTAATACATAATATAATAATGTAAATGCATATTATATCTTTAATATTAAAAGTTTTGGCTTGGCTGCGCCATGCATGACTCACGTCAGCCGCCTTTCTGACTGTGGAATCTCACGTTTCTTTTAAACTTTTAAACTTTTCAGTGCCGTTAATTTAGCATTTTTAATAATGAATCCAAAGCATAGTGCTCCCAGTGCGCAGAGTAGTAACTCTGTACCTACTGGGGCATAATCCAGGTGGTTTTTATATTATATAAGATCTTCATACGAATGAGAAAGAAAACAAAGCAAAGTGCTCAATACAGTCCTGTTTGTTTAGAAATTGGTAATAAACAGACTTTGTTATTGTTGCTGTTACCGTTCAGACTAGCAGACTGTTATGGGTTGAGGTTAGCGCTGCCTATCCTTTGCAAATTTTCACATTCGCGGGGATCTGCCACCCCTAACCCTCTCGAGTGTGAAGGGGTTACACTATCAAGTCTTCAATCACTGTCAATCTATTATCAGTACAAAATCTAGGTATGCAAATTAGGACAACTATTCAGCAGCATGCAAGGTCACTAATTAATACCATGCTGCACCAAAAAAACAGGACGTGACCGAATCATGTGCTGGTGCGATAAGCTGAGAAAGTTGGTAACACCAGTGCAACCACTGGAAAAGTTAGTCTGGAGCCCAGTTTCAGGAAATGTAGCCAATCTACAATTCCACTCTTCTAAGAGAGAGCCTGACGCTCCCACTCTGCCACACAAATCTAAATTCAATAGGGTGTACAACATATCCCGTCAAACACCTCCCCCATGACTGACAATAAAGACTTCGGAATCGGTGAATGAATCACTTTCAGTTTCACTTTCGGTTCTGATGGAGGCCGCAGTTGGGCTCTGATGGTTAGGATGCATTTCAAAAGAGAAAACTACACATAACGTATCCTGGGAGTTTCCACACCGGGCTGTCAGACCGGCCGTCATACCTCAAATTGATTTTTATCACACAGCTGACAGAAACTGAAACTACGTAAAACCCATAAAAGAAAAACCAATTACCAGTGAAGGTCCACAACGGAAACACTAGAATTATGTAAACTAAATCAGTATCATCGCACCTCAGCAGTAAATTACTGCTTGAAATGGATTTGCTGCCAAACAAAATAAAAAAAAATCAGCCAGAGGTATAACTGAATGTGAGGTATCACTCGCAGCCTTGTCACTGATTAGTGTAACCTTTCGATGTTAATGTCATGGCTGCATGCTCTTTGCAAACCAGAAAGAGCTTTGAGCTGTGATTTTTTATTTTCCATCCATCCAATTACACGGAAACAGAATATTCACAGAAACTCCACAAACATGGTGGGGAGTGGGATTCAAACCCCCAACAGTGGAGGTGTGAGACAATAGTTACCCCAGGGGTCTCCAACTCCGGTCCTGGAGAGCTACTAACCAGTAGGTTTTCTATCATACCTGGCTTCTGATGAACCACACCTGTTCTCAGGTAAATACCCGGAGCAGGCGTGGCTCATCAGAATCCAAGTGGGACAGAAAACCTACTGGATGGTAGCTCTCCAGGACCGGAGTTGGGGACCCCTGAGTTACCCAGTGATTTTTAATTAAAATACCCATCTTTAAAGAAGAGGTTTTTACGTAAATCAAGCAAGGGGTCAGAAGCTGAGGAAACACTTGAGTGGGCGGGATCTCACCAGTAGTCGTACGTGTCGTCCCAGTTGTCAAAGTGGACCAGGAACCGGCCATCCACGATGTCAGCCACGGTGGCCACGCACACCAGACAGGGGTTCTTCTGGTCTACAGCCTCCAGCTTCATGCCCATCTTCACCTCCGGGCCGCCCGGCGCCTGCTTGCAGACGGAGCGCGCTCAGTTTGACCGGGCCTTAAACTCTACACTCGTTTTATAACCACTGCCCACACAATCTGTAAATGGGGAGCAGCCCATAGCCACTTCCTCAGCTAAACACACCCTCGCGCTCAATGCGATCGTTATTTGCTGCTGCTGTGAAACCATTTTCAGGTTGTACCACTCACTGCAGGGGCGGGGGGCACCGGGGGTTGAATACTTACACTATTATGTGTCTTGAACAAATTCTTTGGTGCAGTCTGGCCTTTACAGGTCTCTTGGTGCGCTGTCCAGGTAAACTCATCTTCTTTATAACCTAAAATAACAAGGCAGCAATTTATTGCTGTCGGCAGCCATATGGACTGCGTTCTTCCAGAATGTTCTGTCTTCTGTCTGGGACTGCAAGGCTCTCAATGGCATATTCATTAGTCGGAAAATTGTTTGGTTACCCGAAATTCCACTCGCTTTCAGGTTATGGATTGTATTTTATGAGCAGTTTTTACATGCAGTATGTTAGCTGAGAAACACGAGAGGAATTAATGAAATCGAGTATATTTACAGGCTATGCTTTGAACCAAATTTCAAATTACTGTTCATTTACTGGTGCTACTGCAGGAAGTGATGTCACGAAAGCTATAGGGAAGGAGCCACTCACCCTTTGGCGGATGGAGTTTATGTTCCGTCGTCTCGCACCAACCTGCAGGCCTTATATCAGGGGAGTCTGCGTTTACCCAGAAGTCATAGCAGTCGGAGTAGCCATCAATGTGTAGCCGTAATCGGTAGCCAATCACCTTTGGGTGGAAGGAGGGCAAGATCACGTCAGCATTTTACTCAAAAGAAGGGGGTTTACTTTTAGAGCACCCCTCCCACACTCACACACCCCCGTCTTCTCAACCAGGAGCCAGTGCAGCGAATCACAGTACAGAATCAGGGTCCCTAGTGGGCGGAGCTCACCTCTGCCACAGAGAGCACGCAGAACATGGATGGGTGGAGCGGGTCGACGCCCTCCAAACGCATTCCCACCTTGAAGCCATTCCTATTGGATGGAATTGACTGGCGCTGAAGAGGAGGAGAAGAAAGGAGGGGTTAATTGGCCGACGGGATGACAGGCTGTTGGCTGCACCCCCAAAAGCAGGTCCTCACACACTCACACACACACACCTTCTCTCTATTTGTGTTTGTGATTTCTTATGGTGTTCCCCCGAAGTATCTCTGTGGCTAGGTTGCCATAGTGACTGCAATTTTGTTTTGTTTTTTTTAATACGTGTCTCCTCGGATCCTGTCACAAGAAAATTCATCCAGGCGATGCATGTACAGGGCGAGTTTAGAATGTTCTGGAATATGGAAGAAAGCAGGGAGGCGGAGGTAGGTAGCCTGGGGAAGAGGCCACTGCAGGGCACTCTCACACTGAATCAAGCACTCCAATCCCCTCACGTTTTTGGATTGTGGGATGGAAGCAAAGGACTTGGGGAGAACTTGAAAAGGCCATAGACAGCAGATCAGGGCCCTGAATGAAACCCACAACCCTGGAGGTGTGAGGCCACGCTGCTACCCTTTCAGTCTGTCTGGTGTAAGAAATTTATACAATATAATGTCTGATCACTCAAAGAAAACCTTAAACATTTCAAGCTCTTCCAATCTGTCCAGAAACACGATTTTGATGATCACGACACATTCCTTCCCCCGACAACCCGTTAATCATTTTACACTAATTGAATGAATCAAACTGAGTTGTACCGAGTCTCTCTCGCGCAGGCCAGGGAATAATGGCCAGCTGCGTTCTTATCTAGCCGCCTGCCTTGAGCTGCCCACAAAGGGGGAATTCGGCGAACGGATACCTCTGTGAAGACCCTGACCGGTGCCGCCACCGCGCCCTCCTCGTCCAGGTACCTGTCCCATGACCAGGGTCTCTTCTTACTGTTAACTGCTCCAGATGAAGTGAGGAAGAGAACACAGAGTTAGTGCTCCCTCAACACTGTGCATACAGAATGACTAAGGCCTTTCTACTTTTAACTTATTTAACAGGCACTTTTACACAAAGTGATGGACATGTTCTTCAGAAAGCAGGGTCAGACAGCAGACAGTCCTTGGGGCAATTAGGGGTTAAAGGCCTTGCTGAGCAGCCCAACGATGAAACCACTCTGCCTACCACTGGGATTTGAACCAGCAACCTTCTGATGACAATCACTACTTTTACGTGCACACTAAGAAAATCAAATTATTGCATTAGTCTAACTATAACCAGACTTTTAAAGTACATGTAAACATGTTAGTCTGACTGAAATCGTACTGACTTGAATTTCTGTTAGTCGGACTAAGACACCCAGATAGTGTGATTGGGAGTCGATTTACTCCTGCATGTATACGTTCAATCGGACTCAAACTGGCGGAGGTGCTCTGTGCATGCTCTGGAAGGCAGAGAAGAGGCCAGTACAAAGAACAAGCACAGGGCATAGCGGAGGACGTACAGCACATACGAAATGTGCAGCACAGTAAAGCTGTCCAATTCACCTCTCAACTAAAGGGCGCTTTTCCACCGCATCAGCTAGCATACAAAAAACGCCGCAGGTCCAGAGGTATTAAGATAATTAAGGACTCCTTACACCCCGCAAACTGTCTGTTCCACAGGCTGAGCTCCGATAGACTGTTCCGTTGCCTAATGTCGAGGACAGAGAGACTCAGGCAGAGTTTTTTCCCCCAGGCCATAAGGCTTCTCAACTCAAACTTATTCTGGTCCTTCTGTACACTATGTACGTTTGTACTGGAATGCACATATACTGCACATGTTCACTTTACTGTACTAACTTTAGTCTGTACATCCTAGCCATTGCACTCGCCATTGCACTATACAGTGGTACCTCAGTTCTCGAACTCATTAGAACTCGAATTTCTTAAAAGTCGAACCAACCAGTTCGAAAAAAAATTACCTAGGACTCAATCTGAATCTCAGAAGTCAAACCTTGAACACCGACCTAAGATAACTTGTACGTGAGGGGAAATGAGTCACGCAGCACGTCTCTCAGCGGAAACAAAGGGTAAAGCTTCAGTCTCAGCCTCGCATTCGCTGTGATAGCACCGTGCATGTTTACACTAACTGAATACATATATTTAGACATTAAAAATACATGTAGACAATGATAGACAGTAACAATAACAATAGTAATTATTATTATATAATAAAATACATTAAAAAATAAAGATTTCTTATTCATTATTTTAATATTAATAATAAACCATTAATACGTTTAATTATAATAATATTGTCGTGCCCAGTGGGGACGGAACGGAGACAAAGGCGCAGACGTCAGGGTATCGGGGAATACAGGGTTTAATTACAGGTAAGGCAGGCAAAACACAGACGGACAATACAATGACCAGACTGGGGAAACAAACTGAAACGCAGATGAAATACAGAGGACTAATTAAAACAACCTGAAACAACTGATCACATGGTGATTCCACACGGGGTTAACGAGGGGGCGTGGCACACGGAAGGAGCGGACGATTGGGGCAGGACACATTGTTTGGATACATTTATTTTCTTACTTTACAAATTACTGTTTTGATAAATCTGCTTAGATGTGTTTAGTACAGTATATGCTCTTCTTGTTTTATCCAGTTCATTTTGTGTTTAAATACTAAAAAACATATTTAGGTGTAATTTTTTGGTGGCCAGGAACCAATTAATTGGTTTTCCATTATTTCTTATGGGGAAAATTCTATCACAACTCGAACTTTTTATGATTCGATCCGGAGTTCTGAATGGATTAAATTCGAGTTCTGAGGTACCACTGTATTTTAGCTTTTAGATTGTATATTTGGATTGTACATTAGATTATATACTTGATTTGATAGATTGTATTTATATATTGTAATTTTTCCTTTTTTACTCCTACTTTACTTCTTAGCTTTACTACTTCTTATTTTTACTCAGCCAAAAAAGGGCGACCCAGAGATACATTTCACTGCATGTTGTACTGTACAGTATGTGACAAATCTCTTGAATCTTTTGGTACTTCAAGAAGATACCAAAAGTACGGTACTCCAACATGTTTGTTTTCCACTGGCGTAAAAACCGGTAGCCCCACTGAATGACATCACAACGCAAGGTGGCGTATTTTGTAATGAATCGAAAAATGGCTGTAGCAGGACTGGACAACGTGGGATATTATCTCACATCGCATATTTTGCACATCCAATTCTTACATCACTAGTCAGCTAGATTAAGATTAGGCTTTTTCTTACCTTCAGTTTGGTATGAAGATTATAAGCACATGGAGTTTAAGTCACACAAAAACATTTTTACTGCCATAGGAAAAAGACCTAGCAAGTTTTACAATTTTAATGATTATTATTTACCTCCACTGCTTTTGCCTGAGCGCTGCATGTGTTCTCCCAGACAATAATAATCATTTTCATCCTTAATTGCTGTTTAAATCACTCCTAGATGGGTTCGTGAGAAATTTATGTTGAATTTCTTTTTTTTTCATAAATGCCCCAATATTTATTACAACAAAATCACATTGCAATATGTGAGAAATTTCCAGTAAATAGCAGGCTGTCAAAGTATATTAAACACTTTATTCCTTGTCATGTCATCCTGATCTCGTATCTGTTCTTCCGACCAGATCACAATTAAAGCCTGTCAATTTTATTATTTATTATTATTATTTACATTTGTGATGTAACAGGTCAACCAGAAAAAGTGCAATACTAACAAGCTGAAAGGAGCCATATCGCCACCTATTGTAGCAGTCAGACATACTTCGGTCAATGAATCGATTCCCCTCCAATGCATGTATACTAGGACAAGGACAGTAGTCCGATTAAGCGGCGTAGTTAAGCTATAACCGGAGCTTGACTTAGCCGTGCATGTAAACGTACTGAATGTCCTAACCCACTGAGCCATACACCGCTTCTGTTAAATAAACGAAACTAGCATCTTCGGGTATTTGCTCATAGCTAAGGTCCAGCTGAGCCAGTGTGACCTCACAGCGTGAATCAGCCAAACAAGGAAGCAGCACGTTACTCGCATACGTCCAAACACCACCCTGGAACCGCAACCAAACATCTTTAAAGGTTCCTTAAAGCAATATATAGTCCATAGGGTACAATTATTATTTATCACCAGTACAATAAATAAAAATAAGGCAAAGTATGGTTAATAAATAGTTAACAACAGTCCTGCTACAATAAGACCAGAAGCCGTACTGGGAATTCCGCCACTGCTATGCAGGGAAGCAGCAACAGCCCCGTGTTTCTCTCCCTGCCGCACCCCATCATCCTCCAATTGAGGTCAAAGGTGGGATTATATTCGGGTTCTCGGAAACCCGCTGAAAATACGGGACAAGCCGGCAGGTGACTGATGAACTCAGGCCTCGTTCGAGCCACGCAATGGCAACTTGGGCTAAAATGCCACACGCATCTCACTAACAACGCTACAAGCCGATGTAGCTAATATTAAGAGGGCCAGCTGTTCTTCGGAAGAACAGTGCAATTAGACGTTAGAAAAACGGTGAGCTTAATGTCAGAAAGCGTTATATACAAAGTGTGTTACAGGACATTCCTCCCAGCCTTTCTAAATGCAGCGGGAATGACTCATCTGGCCTTGGAATCTAAATCAGTGATTTGTAACATACAAAAAAAAGAGCAAAAATGACTAAATCCTAAACAAATAACTTTATGAAAACATTATGGTATCTCTCAGTCAACTGTCAGCGGGTAGTGGAGAACTGAAACATCTAGGCCTCAAAGCATGTCTGGGGAAATGGTTAAAGATGGACATGCACTATTTTTTTTTACGTTAACAGTGTTGTTAAACACACTGCCTTTTCGTTGCACGACGTGTAAATTATGTTTAGCACCTTGATGCAGTGAAGCTGCAACAGCATTTTGCTAATCACACCCCAAAGTATTAGACAGTAATGCTGCAGCTTGTCACCAGGGGGCACTTGTTTCAGAGGTGAACAGCCGGGACCAGGCAGCACGAACAGAAGTAATAACTCACTGTGCGAAATGGACACTTTGTTTCTCGCCTTTGCCTCATCTTCTCTAGGTCGCTCCTGAAATGAAGAGCAGGCATCAGCAGGGGCAATTCTAGGAATTTTTAAGGTAGAAGGCATACGAGGGGGCATAATTTATACAGAGAAGCCAACCTTATCATTAGCCAATGATATGCTTTGATTTGGTGAGAGACAGGGGAGGGGGCAGTCTGGGGGCCAATCAGATTTCAGCTGTGGTCAGTGCCCCGCCCCTGTATAGACCTCATGCACGTACCCGGAGATGGTACTCGTCCGGAGGGGACTTGAGGTTCACGGTCAGCTTCCTCTTCTTCCGCTCCTCTCCCTGCATCATCAAAGGATCGATGGATTCTGCAAGGTGGGAAGATGGTGTTCAGCATGATCAGGTACAGTAATAAGGGGGGTGGCAGTGTGTGGCCTGTAATCAGAAGGTTGTCGGTTCGAATCCCATCCTTGGCCCCTGACCCAAGCATAGGTCTCTGCAGGGTGGAGTAGTGGGCGTGTTGACAGGAATAGGATGGGAATAGGAATAGGAACCAGATGTGTATTTTCCTTTGTGCTTTCTGGAAATATACCAGTAAGTGTAAATAAGCACAGGAACTGCCTTAAACTATATGAACAAATAAGAAACAGGCATTTAATCAATAAGTCATTGCCTGACCTGTATGTCTGTTGAATGTCTATAGTGGGTTGCAACAGTTAAGTTCAATCGTAGCCTATGGTGGATGTAAACTGCCCCATGTTCAAGTTTATTAACTACTAAAAAAAAAAAAATCGGTTGCCCCACGCAAACAGTTTCAACATGACACTAAGTTATTAGTGTTAGTAATTTTACACTTCCTTATCATTAGGGGTAAGGTCCATTGTAAAAAAAAGACATTTAAAAGCAGTGAAAATGAAACTAACCTAACAAATGTTTCATGCAGTAGTAAAACGTTTTCACAGATCATTTTAATAATTTGTTACCTTTTCCACTAATTTACGATTCACCAAGGTCGCCAGCTTGATATGTCAGCCTTAGTCCAGTCAGTTGCATTTAAATTTTCTTTAAGTACTCTAAGTATTTTTTGCTGATCTGAAAAATGATCCGATCTACGACACAAACACTGTGATACGAGCCGAACCATGAATTTTACGATCTGTTGCACCCCTAAAGCATACCCAGCAAGCTACTTAGCTAACACACTTCTTACATTGCACTGTACATGGCACATTAAGGGTTACCAGTACAGCTGTGGCTGAAATACTTCTTGAAGTATACAGAAGAATACAGAGAAAACAAAATCGGAAGCTTTGTATAACCCAAACTCAACAAACATACCAAACAAACAAGCAAAGACTGTGGGTGGACGATACTGAGGCTAGACGACAAATGCACTTATTTACATCACACAGGATTCCAAAATCTTTGCTATCCACACATGGAAGCACATGGAACAGGAATTGGTTCTGGTAATACCAGACAATGATACTGATTGGTTGTCCACGGCAAAAACGTCATTCTGTGTGACAGTATTATTATTTACTAGCTGCTAACTACGACGTAACATAAGTAGCAGTGGTGCAACAGACAAAGAACGCGGCGCTAGTTTCAAACTAGCTAGTTTCAACGTATGATTTAAGGTACACTTTACACCCAACCTTACAACTGAACTTGTGCAACCCATGGCCTGTCTGTTTTTGAGATGGTGTTTATTGACAACATTTTCGGCCAATAGAAATGACCTTTCTACACCACTCCCACCCCCAAACAAGAAAAGAACACTGCATAAGTCTTGCGACCCCTTTCGCTCCCAATCCCCATGTTCTATTTCAGGGACACTCACTATTTTCCCCGAGGTCCAAATTTCATCAGTGACACAAAGCCAAACTCCAGGGGGTGTAATAAAATTTGCCAAATGACGATTAAGATTTTAGATTAAAAACCTTTTTTAAGCATATTCAAAAAATCTTCTTGCGAACCATCCCAATTATCTATCGTCCTCATGGGGGGTCACAACCCACGGTTTGGGAACCAATGTCCTACACCATCACCCACCTTTCATTTCAGGACCATCACCTTCTCATTTTCCAGCCAAACTATCCAAGACCATACCTAAAAAAAAGAGGAAAAAACAGTGTAAACATTGACTGGGAATTCCCCAATGAGACAAGAATGACATCATCAATGGGACATTACCTTCTGCAGCTTAGATGACAACAAAAACTTCCAAAAACTAATCAACATACTCACATTCTTACATATTCCTTCAGCTCTGGGGATTGAAAGCTATATTAGCCCCCTCTGCTAGTGTGTAATATAAAGAGCTTCTACATCACCCTAAAGAATGAGTCTCATAATAGCATTCAGCACAGGCAATAACAAAGCACAATTCGAACACTTCAGCAGAAGGAATACTACCTTTGCCTTTAATAAGGGCCATTATTTTAAAGCAGAAGGGCTGTCTGTTTAGGCACAAATTAGGGTGAGTGAATACCTTTAGATGCTTCTGTAGAAGCCATCAGAAAGCCTAAAAAGGTAGGATGCAGGGTAGATGTTTGTTTTGGTTGGTGGACAAGTCCCTTTACTCTTCTGTAATTAACAGTCAGAGTGTAAAGCAAGATGTCTGTGTGTTAGAGGGGAAACGTCAGGGAGTGATGGTTCAGCCTTCATGGACACCTTCTGCTAGATTTAGAGAGTAAAATGGATATTTTGTATGTTTCTCAGTCTGCCTGCTTATTTCAGCTTCAATCATACTAATGATGATGCTTTATTTGCCATTTGCACACGTGCAGGTATAATGCAATGCTTCTTTTCACGTATCCCATCATGCTCTCCGCTGAGACACACACAGCTGAGAGTAACGCTTGGGGTCTAAGCACATGATCAGGCCATTTATCTGGAGCCCCTGGTGCATTATGGGGGGTATAAGTGTCTTTCTCGAGGGTCCAGCGTAGATGTGACTGTTCTGCCGTGGACGGGATTTGAACCGGTGACTTTCCGATCCCAGGCACTAACCCGCTGAACCACACCACCCCCCAATAATAAACCTGCCTTGGTCCATCCTCCAATCCATCTGCTCTGGGGCTGTTTGTTATCTGGAAGATCAAGGCTTTTCACAGAAAGATATTGGAGAGAAAAAAAAGAGTTGCCTTTGCCTTACAAATGTTTACAGATGGAAACTTTACTATCATGAAATAGCTGCTTTAGAAACTGCTGAAGGTTCAATAAAGTAAAACATGACATGAGTCTAAAAGGCATAAGTAATGTTTGACAGATGATACTGCCCTGAATATTTTGGAGGTAAGAACACAGAACTTTCTATTTCTATTATAATATTAGTCTGACTAAACCTGAAATTACACCACCTGAAGGCAACCCTGGAGCTCAGCAAGTACAGAAATGCACTCCGACAGCAAAGGTTGTGGGTTCAAATCCCAGGGAGCATTCGAAAATTGTTACTCTTCCCTCAACTATAAGTTGCTTTGGACTGAAGCATCAGACAAAATAATGAAATAAAAAATGAAGTCATGACTGTGACATTACAGAGTGACATCTCCTGAAAAAGTCACAGTGATTTGATGCAGCACCGTTACAGTTGGTGTGTTATTATCTGTATAATGTAGTTCACCAGAATAGTGTATTTATCACAAATTAACTTTAACACCCAGTTAATTATCAGTTTTGTGACTGTTTAGAGAATCCACATTAACACACCCCCATTTATTACTGACTGATGGGATAATTAAACAAAAAAGGATTACAAACGTGTTAAGACACTTGTGATGAAGGACGCTCAGGATAACACACACGGGACTTCGCAAGGACATGTTGCACCTTCCCATCGATGTTTGATTAACAACTTCCATTACGCTAATGGACAGGGGACAGGGAGGATGAATCTGCGTTTTAGCAGCAAACTGAAAAGAGCTGGCGAAGGGGGATCTAGACGGAGCAGTTTGCTGCACGCGTGTGATGAGGCGCGTCGGTCACGGCCAACTTGAGAAAATTAGCCGGAACCCAAAATCGCACCGAAATCGATTATACAGCACTGTGCAAAAGTCTCAGGCAGTCAAAGTAAATGTTTAAAGCTAAGTATCTGGGTATTAAGTGTACATTTGCTCAGCAAAAAAAAAACCCACAAATTTAACATAACAACATATTCAAGTAACATAATAAAAGCTAGCAACTATTTCTCTTGTTCTCCAAAAAGTTGCTGATATCTCGTTGGATGGCTAGATGAACACCGCTTTGGTTCCCAAACCTCTCCTCAGGGGCACCACAGACATTCCACGTAAATAAGTTTCTTCACCAGCTCACTTTATTGATTAACCTAATTAGTTAAATAACTCAGCATGGTGCTGAATGCCAAAATAGGACTGCAGTGGATGAGTTAAAAAAATACATGGATGGTTTCTAGAAATGGGCGGACGACTTTAGGAGAGGTTTTGAAATTTGACACAATTTGACAGACAGAAAATCATACTTTTACACCAGCAAGAACATCACTTAAACATTTTCTTTGAATGACTAAGACTTTTGCTCAGTACTGTATATAAAAAAATGCTAAAACGCCAGCCAAAGGACAACTGCAGCATTTAATGCAGGAAAGGCCAACTACATTTCCTAAATTTAACATCTCTGTGGCACAAATCTGAGTCCATGCTCATGAACTGATTTCTGCTGTCTCTTTCAAAACATTCTGCTCTTTTCTTAGCCGCTGTCATGTCTCTCCTTTAACTCTACATCCATAATTTCCCCTCAATTATTAATAAAACGTATCTATTTATCTATCCTCGACCCCCATTATTACATGGCATTTTTAGCAGACTCTTTTATCCGAAGCAACATACAAAAGCAGGACCAGACAGTCGCTGGTGCATTTGGAGATTTAGGGTCTTGCTCAAGGGCCCAATGGTAACATCACTCTGTCATATCTTGGGATTTGAACCAGTGACCTTCCCGCCACAGGCACAGAGTCTTAACCCAATGAGCACACGCCAACCCACACACTGAATCCCCTACTCTCCCTACAGGTGACTCCACAGGTACTGACTCTGACTCCATTTCCTGAGCCGGCAGACCTGTGTAAGTATACCGCTCAGCATATATACACGGATATAACCAGCGAGCTGCGTTTGGAAAAAGATGGATAATCAGCTTATCACACCACATTATAATTACCAGTTATGAACTGAAATATTGATACTCTTTTAATTCTTTAACCTGCAGCCTCCAGTTTTACTAAATAAAAGCAGAACTTCATAGATTATCAGACTACCAGCCCCCCATTTTCTGTACCCGCTTGTCCCATGCAGGGCTGTGGAGGTCCGGAGCCTGACCTGGAAGCTATGGGATCAAGGCAGGGAATAACCCAGGATGGGGCGCCAACCCAGCACGGGGCACGTTGGAGATCCTCGAGGAAACTCCACAACGACACAGGGACAACACGCAAATTCCACATGCCTAGAGCCGTGTGGAGTCTATCGCCCATAAATTAAACTTCACGCGCGCACGGAGGTAAATTGCTATGCGCCAAACTACAATATACCATGTCTCAAGGTATTTTTACATTCAGGAAGTTTCCAGAACTGCGAAGGTTATTCATCAAGCAAACTGAAAATGCATCGGAAATGGAGACCGCAGCCATGACAGGAAAGGAGAGTGGAGGGTAAATATGGCTGAATCTCTGCAGAGCTGAAGGTAGAAGAACCCTCAGAAACTTGTCAGACAGTTAATTGGACGACCAATTAAACCTATAAGCTTCGACGGATCAAACAACGAGGCCTTTCATTCAAAATACTCAGCTGCTTAAAGGAGACTATTACCATGCCTGCCTCCAACTGAACCATATTACAGAAAAAGATTCAATATTCACATTTTACTTTAGATTTTATACAATTGAGAAAACAGGGTCAGAGGGTCCCTGGTGCAAATGGGGGTTCAGGGCCTCGCACAAGGGCCCAACAGTAAAATCACTCTGCTGATGCTGGGATTTGAACCGGCAACCTTCTGATCCTAGGTACTGCATGCTGACCTGCTAAGTCACACAGTGTCCCTAATTAATAATGTTTGAACAGAATTTTTATCTGATTACATCCAATAAATTCAAATTTCCTCTGAAATGTATACAAGAAATAAAGGTATTCATCGTGCTACATCCTATCGAGTAATATCCAACAGCATTTACGCCCGAGATGGCAGAAAGTGAACACGGTAGGACGTTAGCCCGCATTGCTTAGTCTCCTCTAACTATGGAAATATGCTGAAATTGACTTGAATCCAGTGGTCCAGGTCCCAAATTCAACTCTGTTCAAATTTATTTGCATAGCACATTTTCACAACACTGTATTGCCTCAAAGTGCATTACATTATCCCTCTCCGAAGCCCCCAGTGAGCAAGCCAGAGGTGACAGTGCAAAGGAAAAACTCCCTAGAAGGAAGAAACCTTGGTAGGAACCAGACTCAAAGGGGGAGCCCATCCACTTTGGGTCGGCAGAGGAAGTCAAATTAACAAGCTGACGCAAGTCGTTGGATACCTGTACTAGTTACCGTAATGCCTCCATCTATATCACCCTTGTCAACTGAAATAACTTCATTTTCAATACAGTAAATTTTACAACAAATCATTTTAACACATTTCCCCTTTCACCTTTGGATTTCAGGTCTTTATGTTCAACCAGTTTTCACTTTTATCTATGTTACCATTGTACTTAGTCAGGGTACAGTGAAGGAGAACAGGTTAACAGACGTCTGATTCCATTAAACTGCCATCCTGTCCAGGGCTGTAGGGCAGCCCCATGCCCTGTGCCACCCAGGATTGGCTCCAGGCCTCCCCTGCGAGCCTGACCAGGATAAATGATCAGAACAAGGATGGAAGCACCTATCAATAAGTGGAAATGCATGTGGTTTAAGTTAGTGCTGTTTATGAAAATGACTGATAAAGCACGACCACCAAACCAGAATGCACCAGAAGTTCAAACATGCATCACAGAGGACCATCAAGCACCAGCAACATCCAATCCAAACCCAAATCACCAAAAAGCAAGCACCAAGCAGCCAGCTGCCACGTACAATCAGTCGAGAGCGGGCCGAAGGTGAAATAAGGGTGAGCGAGAGAAAAGTCTGCAGCTCAGAGAAGCCAAACATTCGCCATCATCTTGAGGCACTCATGCTCTGCAAATAAACACCTCCTGGCCTGTAGGTCACGACGATTCCAGTCAGGATCACGCTGGCGGCCGGCTAGCTGGTCTACAAGCTGTCTGCTCGCATCAAACGACAGTCAAGCTAAATGTGGGTATGTGATGGACGAAGACTTCCATCTCAAAACGGCAAGTTCACACTTACTGACAGTTAGGGCGCAGTCACATGTGTTCAATATAGCTGCTCTCTCATACTGCACTGACCAGAGTGTCAATAGAACATGAGGACTAAAAACAGGCCTATTTTAGCCTACAGAGATTTTCCCAAGACTGGTCAAATAAAAGAAATCTGTTACACTATTATGGGTGCATTCTAATATTTATCATTATAATGGAAGGAATAATATTACTAATTAGAATAAGGGTTGGGATAATACTGTGCCACTTGTTAAACGATGGTGATTATTGTGGAAAGAGATTCAAATCGAGAATGCCAGGTCAAGCCGGCAAATGAGCATCAAATGCTCCCACAAATAGCTATCATCATCATCATCATCATCATCATCATCATCATCGCAGGGTTGTTTTAAAGCTATATTTCTCGTTTGCTTTGAAAACATGTACTTAACACCTATACTGTATTAGGCACCTTTTGTATGAGCAACATTCAGGTACAGCTCATACAAATCAGGCATCAAGAGGTGAGTCCAATGAGGAAGCACGGCACTACAGGGTCTTGCAATATTACATTTGATTGGTCAATTCCAATATCAGGGCAAACCACATACCTCTGACAAACGTCATTGTCTTCAACAATTACGTATAGGCCTACATCACTAAAGATAAACACAAACATGATGCCATGTCATGCTCTTTAAGCAGAACTTGAACAGAACCCCGGCCAACTTTGCTTAAATTAGGAGCTCCTGCTGGATCTCCAGCCCAGAAGAGACACCACCAAAGTAAGTCACTGAAAATCTTTTAATTGTTGGTGTCTGCACACCTGGGCAGTGGCTATTACAGGCAAATCCCCCCTCCCAAAGGTTAAAGAGACACGCTGCTGTTCCAGCAACCAAGAAAAGCATTACCCGTATGGGTTTACATTTGCTTGTTTGCCGGGGCACTGAGTCACATGTCACGGCATTTAAAAGTAAATAACAAAGAAAGAATAAAGCCTATCTATCTACCCATTTATCAATAGAGTTTTGTATTGGCAAAAAGCAGAATACACCACATTATAATAGTATTATATGAAGAATACAGGAATATGTAGAGTCGACGTGCAATAAAGCGTAAAACTTTTGGCAAAAACAAGTGAATTGCTATAAAATGCATATTCACATCATAATATTTAATAGACACACGTAAACCATCTGTTTCATTGTTTATCCTGCAACGAGTTGGGGCTGTTTCCCGACTTCGCATCAGTCCGACGGGGCGCCGTAGCCGCAATTAAACGCCACCGCGTCGGTGTCGTAATAATTTAACATACGCAGTTATGGTGATGGTACCTAAGAGAAGGTGCCCGCGTTTGGAGATCTGTTTCATTCTCAAATATAACACATTGTACTGAGCCAAAGGTGCAATTATTTTAAACAAATAAATATTTTTTAAAAACTTTAAAAACTTCAGGACAGTATGACGGAACGATATAAATTGCATAAAGGTTAATATAAAGTAGTCTTTGTAAAAAGCAACCACCAACGCACAGTACACAGCAAACAAGTGTCGGCCCTGTGTAATTTAATCGGAAGGCCTCTGTTAACAATAAAAAAGTAAAACGCATTTATATCATACTTACAGCGTACACCTGAACTGAAAACAGCCATAAATGACAGCTGCATGTAAATGAAAATAGGTTTAAAACCAAAATGGCGGAAGTATTCAAAACGAAGATCGAGAGACAAATTGGGGTAAATTGTAAGAGGAAATTGACACAGTAAGCGAGCGGAGAGCAGCCCCGACGCCGACAGGAGCTGCGCGAAATTAAACAAAAATGAGTCGCACTTCGTGCCTTTTCACTACTTTACAGTATCCAGGGACGGAGGGTGTGGGGATCTGGCCCTAATAAAGGGTGCTGGCACACTCCAGGAAGAGACACTCTGCGTGCTTATAAATGAAATATTTTAAGAATGACAGAAAAATAAGAGAGGAAACATTTCCGAGAAGAGAAAAAGAACAGTTTCACTTGGCTGGAGGAGGCTGCCTCGGTGTTTACATTGTGTCACATGCTTGCAAACGAGAATCGGGGAAGGGGGAGGAAATGATATTATATGACCCCCCTCCGGTATTTGTGATGGGCTATCGTGGCCCGTTAAAGGCACCTTATCATGTGCGATCTTAATGTGGACACATGAGACCATCTCAATGCGGATCCGATCGTCATAGGAAGCCCCCAGCACCTTTCTCTCTCGAGCTATTTCTGAACTGCAACATCGAGAAAACTGCGACTCGCCTTATCAAACTTAGGAAAGAAAGGAAAAAAGGTGGCTCCCATCCCTGCCGCTGTACGAAATTATTAATTTCTTACCCGCACGCCAGTCGGCTCGCCCCCGTTTTCAGCGCCGTGACGGGAGGGGGGACTCGGACTCCGTCCGTGCGCCTCTGCGCATGCGCCGCGCAGCCCTCTGCCGGAGGCGGCCGCCGCCGCTCCGCCGCCCTCTAACAGGTATAAGGATTAACTAATTACCCGCATCAGAAGCATCTTGAAAACCAACAAATGTCCGAAAGAAGCTCTTACTGGGGTAATCGGTGTCTTAAAAATCATTAGTATTGATATATGGAGGTAGACTTTACTTTCTGTTTTGTTATTATCTGTGTTTAGCCTGGTGTTCAACTATTAACCTCGGAATGCCATGAGAAATGGGCTCAGGTTGATGTTTCTGCAGTTTACGAAAATCTTAGAAGATTAAAATCCCAAGTATTACTGCAAATATTTAAACACCCCTTTCAAGTTGCGTTATGTTTCAGCCGTTTTTATTGTACAAACATCAGGATGTATTTGAATAAGTGCACAGTGATGCGTAACATTGGTTTTCAGTGAGACTGGGGTGTACAGTCCTAAATATTTGGTTTTGTTTCAGAGATTTCAGTCAGATAGGTCTAGCTGTAGATGACAGGAAGAGTCTATGGCTGTTGCATAGTTTCCTCATTTTGGCAGAGCAAACAGATCTGTGAATGTGCAAGAAAAGGTGAGAGAGTGAGGACAAGTGACTGAATTGGGATTATCTGAATGCCATATGGGTGGCACAGCAGTTCATTGGTTAGCAGTGTTGCCTCGCGCTGTCAGGGGTTGCAGGTTTGAGTCCTGCCCCTGCGTTGTGTGTGCAGTTTACATGCTCCCTCCAAGTTTTGTGTCCCCCCTCAAAGTTAGCAGATTGCTATCCCTAAATTGCTTATAGTATGTCTATGTACACTGATCAGCCATAACATTAAAACAAGGCTGCCATTATGTATTAGACAAGTGAAGAGTCAGTTCCTGAAGTTGACGTGATGGAAGCAATGAAGCTTATAAACCTTTTCAATTGGGGGGGGAGCCAGACTGGGGTCAGTTGTTCTATTAGGGGGGGCAGATGCATTTGACCTTAATGTCCTCCAAGTATTACTTGATTGCCAGCATTAAGAAGCAAAAGACAATTTTGAAAATCGATGTTATTTATTCGATGATTTGCAGTCACATTTTACAGTTTCTACAAATATGTAACTCACTCTGATTTCTTGATTTTACTCTCTTGCTTCCACAAGCTTGATTATTTTTTTCTGTCATTTAACTTTGCTTTTCACCAACTGCAGCGACTCGACCACCCGGCGCAGCCACGTTAAGAGTCCGTCAAATCTGCTTACGCTTGTTTCGCCTGTTCCCAGTGCACTAAATTTTAGCCCACATATATAACTGTAAATAATAATAATTGTAATAATGACAATGTATTTATTTCAGACCCTAGCAGCATACATACCTAGGTGGGCCATGGCAGGGGCGGGGGACACTGGCTCCCCCAGCCCCCCCCCAAAAAAATTTGCCCTGATTTGAAGCAATAGCAATATAACTATGGTGAATTATATGGATCGCAGTGACTTTGCTTAGTGTCAGATTGTGATGGCTAGTCAGAGCGTCTCCAAAACAACAGGACTTTTGCAGTGTTCCCAGTTTGCAGTGGTCGTTACCTAACAAATGGGGTCCATTGGGAGGCCACCCAGTGAACAGGCGACGGGGTCATGGGCGCCCAAAGCTTACTGATGCACGGGGGGAGCAGAGACCCCCCATCTGGTCCGACGCACTATGGAAAGAAGGCAAGCTGGCAAAGGCAGTGTGATATTCCGGGTAATGTTCTACTGGGAGACCTTGTGTCCTGGCATTTTTGCTGACGTGACACATACCTAAGCAGTGTTACAGAGTAAATACACCCCTTCATGGCAATGGTATTTCGCAATGGCAGTGGCCTTCATCAGCAGCATAATGTGTCTTGTCACACTACAAAAAATGTTCAGAAATGGTTTGAGGAACATGATAAAAGAGTTCAAGGTGTTGACTTGGCTTCCAAATTCCCCAGATCTCAATCCGATTGAGCATCTGTAGGACGTGCTGGACAAACAAGTCAAATCCATGGAAGCCAAAACCTACAGGCTTTAATGGATCTGCCGCTAACGTCTTGGAGCCAGTACCGTAGGACATCTTCAGAGGTCTTGTGGCATCCATGACTTGACTGGTCAGGGCTGTTTTGTCAGCACAAAGGGGACCTACAACGTACAGTATTAGGTTTAATGTTATGGCTGATTGGTGAATGTGTCCTGCAGAGAATTGGTGACCTGTCCAGAGTGTCCCCTGTCTTGGCCCCTTTGTCACCTGGGACAGGCTTCAGCCCCCTGCAGCTATAAGTGGCTTGAACAGGGCGTGCAGCATGTCACACAGGGTTACTCAGTACAGGGTTACTCAGTACAGGGTTACTCAGTACAGGGTTACTCAGTACAGGGTTACTCAGTACAGGCATCACACAATCCCTCCCTAACGTTAATGACCAGTGCAGAACTTGACAGTAAAGTCAGCGTCCATGTTCTGCACCATTAATCATTTATCCCAAAGGTATTTTCTCTTGGTCTCAACACTCACATATTTACCTTTTTATCTGAAATGTGTAATTATTGTTCTGGAATGATTGAAATGGTCATACATGGGCGCGTAGCGAGAAATTCTGGGCCCTCTGATGAAATGCCTCCTTGGGCACCCGTACCCAATCAAATTCATGCCTTTTTGTATTCAAGGGTCCCAACCTGTAAAGAACTGGGCTCCCAGGTGTCATTGGGTAATTTAGTCAGATAGGTGCCTCTCGAGATTAGCATCTGATCTAAAGAATCCAGCCACTAAAGCCTATCCAAAACGTGTTTTTACATTGTAATCATAAAGAACATGAGATTAACATAGGCTTAGCCTTGGGACTGAATGGCACGCAGTGCATGTTAATGTGGTTATTATGTAACTCATTTTGGCTTTTCATGCCTCTGTCAGTGGAGCACAGAGGCTCAGTGGGCAGGTGGGGCCTCATCCTTCCAGGTTTTCGGGGTCTGCTTCCTCCCACACTTGGTGCGTGTGGAGGCTGCATCCTCCCTCTGTGCTCCCAGGGTGCTCTGCTTTCCCGCTGCTGTCCGAAAGCATGCAGTCGAGTGAATTGGTGTCCCCGAATCGCCCACGGTGTGATTGTATTTGTACTGAGTGTCCCCAACCTCGCACTTCCTGGACGACGCTTCAGGCGCAGTGTGACCGTGTTCTGGATTCGGGAAAAATGGATGATTCCAGTAGCGCATGTCGTTATACGATGTGCAGCATCGCTGGGATTCAGGGTTTAATCCTCCATTGTGTCAGTAGACAGGACTCACTGGAATGAACCTTTTACTGCCATTGGCACAGGCACATTGGAATGATTCTTTTCACATATTGCACCTTGCTCTCCTTTGAGACATAACCTCACATATATATACAGCCGAGAGTGATGCTTGGGGTCTGACCGTAGGGTCAAGCATTTATCTGGTGCCCCGGAGCATTTTTTAGGGAGAGTGGGGGTTAAGGTCCGCGCTCAAGGGCCCAGCGGCAATAAGACTATACTGCTGAGGCTGGGATTTGAACCAGTGACCTTCCGATCAGAGGCCAAACCCGCTGAGCCACACTGTGGCCCATAAACACAGTAAACAACCTATTGCTATGCAGTACTACAGCAGCATTCCTATCGTGTCCATACTGGGCGTGTTCGCACCGACTAAATGCCACCCAGCCCGATTAGCTGACGTGGTTGAATGCTCTCCACCGGTTGATAACCCCCCCTGCTTCTTCCCACCCTCCGGATGGCTGCTGGCCGCCCCCCGCCCTGTCCCCGGTTCCCCCTGACGCTGACCGGACCATCCCCATGGTGGTTCTGATTACAGCTGCTCTCTCCGGTGATCCACTGGGCGCTCCTTCAAACGCCGGTCCACGGTTAACCGAGCAACCGCCCCCCGCCCCCCCGCCGGCCGTCCTCTGCTCACAACGTGTAATTTTCTGCCCCTTCACTCTCGTGTGTGATCTTAAGCGGACAGAAAGGGGACGAGGGACGGTGCGAGATGCCCGCGGCGCTTCCAGCCAAGCGTGTTTTTCTAATGTAATAACTGCCCCCCCCCACGTCTGGGCAGAATCCACATAATAGCGCACGGTTTAGGCTACAGTGAGACAAGCAGATAACAAAGGGGTAATGAAATAAAGCCAAATGCATCACAACCTAAACCGTGATTATTAGAAATTCTCTCTCTGTTTTATCCTGCAGGTTTTATGTGGTAATTTCTTTTTATGCGCGTACCGTACAAAGAAATGCCACCAGAACTTTGAATACTTTTTTTCCTGATTGTTGTTGCTCCCTTGAAGCTCTATAGCAAATTGCTTTTAGAGTAAAACAGAGACCATGCAGCAGAGAGTGAGTGTCAGGATTACAGCCCATCCTCTGAGTCATTCTGTGCTGTGGTTTAGTTTCCCCCCAGAGCAATCGTACAGCTGCCTGGGGTGAGATGGGGTGTGTGTGTGTGTGTGTGTGTGTGTGTTTATTAGGGGTGTCTCTACAATTTGGTGTGTGTCACGGTTTGTGGACCACAGTAACGGTTCGGTTTCGATAACTGTAT